AATGGTGAAGGCATACTGATGGTGTCACTGTCATTCACTGTGGGAGTGTAAGCAGTATATCCCAAATGGTAGTTGCCTGTCAGGTTTTAAATTGTGTGTGTGTGTGTGTGTGTGTGTGTGCGCGCACAAGTGTGTGTGCGCACGTGTGTGCGCGGATGTGTGTTTGCAGTACTAGAGATCAGACCAAGCACCTTACACATGCAAGGCTAGTGCTCTATTACTGACCCGCATCCTTGGTCCAAAATTTGTGCATTTTGTGATCCATTTAATGTTCTTGACAGTGTTCACATAAAAATTAGTTTTTTGATCATTTTAATACTGAAAAAATAGTGACTAGGGGGTTTGGACTCCTTCTTATGGGTTATGAAAATAAATATTCTGGAAATAGTGATGATGCGGCCAGCCCGGGTTCGATTCTTCCACCCCTCTCGGAGAGCCTGGCAAGCTACCAAGAGAGTATCTCGCCCACACAGCAAAGCCTGGCAAGCTACCGTGACGTATTCAGTGTGCCAAAAACAGTAACAACAAGTCTCACAATTTGTTGTGAGACGTTACTGGTGCCTGCTCGAGCAAATCAGTGAACAATGGGAGGACAGTGCTGCAGTGGCGATGAGTCGCATTAAAGTCTTTGTTTGGGAGCCACACCTGGCTCTAGGCTCAGGGCTTAACTCCTGGCTCTGTGCTCAGGGGTCACTCTTGGTGGGCTACAGGGACTTTATGGGGTGCCAGGGGTAAAACCTGGGTCAGCTTCGTGCACAAGTGCCCCTACCTCCTCTATGTCTAAAATGAGTAAAATGTTCAGTGTTTTGTTGGTTTGATTTTACCACTTTTTTTTTTTTATAAAAGAAACATTGAATTGTACAGTTTAAAGCTGAGTAATTGGTCAGAGACGTAGCTCAAAGGGCTGTTTGTTTTTCTTTACCAGTGGAATCTCATTCTTGAAAACACCCTTGAGGTCTGAAAGCTGGAACATGCCCAGCAGTACTGAAGGGGCTGCTCCTAGCTCTGTGTTCAGAGGTCACTCCTGGTAGTGGTTCAGGACCTCATGCAATGTCAATCTGACCCAGGTCTCCTGCGCACAAAGCATATACTCAACCTGTTGAAATAACTCTGTGGTCCCCTTTGAAATTTGTTGAGGCTTAGTTTTTGTAGTGAATGTCCATCCATGCTGTATCTTTTAGTTCTTAGAATTAGTATTTTACTGTTTCCAGCATTCTTTTGTTTTTCCCATAATTCAAGCTCATTATATTACTAAATATACTTTTGCTGATGAAGATTGTCACATGTATTCCTTGAATTACTGTGAAAAGTATTAATGTCTTTAATACATCTCTATAAACTTATGAATTACCCTTTCCTGTCAGTTTTGCTTTATATCCTTTAAGTTTGTTTTTATAGCTTTAGAGACTTTCAAATTATTCCTGCTGAGTTCAACTTTCTATTTCTGTACTAACTTCTTTACTTTTTGTTGTCTTTTACTGTAGCATCTAACTGACCACTAATATAGTTAGTGTTTTTTTCCAGTATTTTAATTTACAAAAATGTTTAATATCTTTAATTCAAAAAGGGCAGCTGTTACGTTTCATATGTTCTTTTAAATAACTTGTGGTCTCTCTACATGTATTCCAATTGTTTACATATTAGTACTTTAGTTGCCTTGTTCTGTGTTTTCCATTTTCCCACTTGTCAGTATTCCTGTGTTTTTTGTTTTCCTCTTCCTGTTTCTTCATTTGAGGGGGCTTGGGAGGAGGACCACACTTGGTGGCTTTACTCCTGGCTCTTGGCTCAGGGATTACTCTGGTGGCAGGGATAGAGGGAAGTAATACAGCCTCTCCACTGACTCTCTTTAGTATTTCTCTTCTGTCTTTGTTGGGATTCTTCTTTAGAAAATGTGTCTCATTTGAGTGGTTATTTGAATTCTTAAATGCTTTAGAAATTTGAACAGACATCTTATTAAAGAATTTTTAGTACTTTTAATTGTATTCACTTCTCTCTTTTCCTATTTAACTCAATCTTGTTTTTTTAGACAAATGCATAATACCTAGTATTTATACTTGAGAGATAGTATAGAGGGTAAGGTACTAACCTTGCCTTCCCCCCCCAAAAAAAAAATTGCCTCATATTTTGAACCTAGAGTCTTCTGTTTCATTTCAGTTATTGATTTTATTTGTTTGTATTTCATTTATTGAGTTTCTTAATTCTTGAATCCTTGTGGTAATTTTTACTTTCTTAAAAAATTACAGATCTACATATTTTAGAATGGAAATGTTCATCAGAACAGAAAAATGCCTTTGATTATTTTTGCATTTTTGATCCTTTCTTTTGTGATGACTCTCTTTTCCAGCCAGAATGACTTTCTTGAATGTTACTAGTTTTTTTTTTGTTTTGTTTTGTTTTGTTTTTTGCTTTTTGGCTCACACCCAGTGATGCTCGGGGATTACTCCTGGCTTTGCACTCAGGCATCACTCCTGGCAGTGCTCAGGGGACCACATGGGATCCTGGGAATCGAACCCAGGTCGGCCACATGCGAGGCAAACACCCTACCTCCGTGCTATCGATCCAGCCCCTTGAATGTTACTTTTAATAAGGGTCTTAGTAGATTGCAGTTTGGATCTGAAAATTGTTATTTTGAGCTAAATTTTGAAAGGTGTGTTTGCTAAATACAAATTCTATGTTTGTGGTTTTTCTTCTCAGCATTAAAATCACATCTTCTCATGTGACCATCTTAGTTACTTTGATAACTTGTTTTCAATAGACTTTTATGAAATCATTTGACTTTTGATGTTTTATAGTTTCATACCACATTTTTAAGTATGGATTTTTTTTCATTTATTTTTCTTGGAATTTAATGACCATGAGTGTATGGCTTGGTATCATCCATCATTTTGGAAAATTCTTTTTTTTTTTTTAATTTTTTTATTTGTTTTGGAAAATTCTTATCTGTTTTTTTTTTTATTTCGTCACTGACCGACTCCCTTTTCCTTGAACTCTTATTAGACAATTGTTAGACATTTATTCGCCTGTTCTTTTTTGTTGTTGTTTTGGGCCATACCCAGCAATATACAGGGGTTACTCCTAGCTCAGCACTCAGGAATTATTCCTGGCGGTGTTTCAGGAGACCTTGTGGGATGCTGGGAATTGAACCTGGGTTGGCCATGTGCAAGGCGAACCCTCACTTGCTGTATTATTGTTCTATCCCTTATTCACCCATTCTTGTTACTCATATCCTTGGTATTTGTCTCTTGCATTCTACATTCATTCCTCTTTGGTTCTTTTCTGGCTCTGCTTTCCCTCCTCACCCCCACCCTCATTTTTTTGTTTCTTAAAATATAGTAAACATTCATTATTGAGTCCATTGATTTCATTGTGTGTGTGTGTGCGCGCGCGCTTGCACGCGTGTGTGTGTACACATGCTTATAGCTTGGGTCTGTTCCTGGCCAAGCTCATCCAGTACACTGAGAGGTGCCACCCAGGCTTCAGCTGCAAGGTGTCTGCAGGGTATATCCAGGGGAGGGTTACGCATGCAGTTACTGAGGGATTTGAACTAAGAGCCTTGCACATGCTGAGTAGTTCTATCCTCGGTGCTTAGTTTTCTTGTCTGGATGTGCTTCCATGAGTAGCTCTTGCTCTCTTGACTTACCTGTGTTACTGAGGATAAGAGTAGATCCCTGGAGAGGAAATTGCCATTGACTTCGGTTACAGACCACTGGGTGCTTTCAGTCCAGGGTCACAATGCACAGAATTCTGAGGATTTTTGAATCTTGATGGAAGTGTTGTATAACTTCAAGAGACAAGCCTGTTTTGGACTAATGTAATTAAAAGCTGTCAGGAGAGATTTTTCTGTTTCACACTTCAAGCCATAGTTTGAAACGAGCAGCTTACCTTACTGTTCCTAGTTGGGATGACAGTGGTAGAAAACATTTAGTACCCTGACAGTCCGGGTACTCCAACCTTTTAGGGATGTTTGCTCTTAGGTCTCCATCTTGGAGAGCTTTGTGCTTTGTCTACAGCTCCTCCCCCAGGATGACAAAAAAAAATAAATAAATGTGTAAAACTACAAGGTGAACAACAGCCCTTAAGGTGAAAGGCATCTTTATTTTTTTTCCCGTCTTGGTTCCCATATTTGCTGAGATTTTGGCCAGAGTTCCTTACTTTTCATAAACTAACTCATAAATGGAAGAGATATTTTAATATTTTACCTATTTTAGGTTGTTTATAGCAGGAAGCTCAGAAAGGTACTTGGTTAGTTATTTTGCCGGAAATGAAAGTTTAAAACTCTTTAAGCCCTAAAATCTTGCTGTTTAAAGTATTCTGTAGTGGTGTAATCATTGTATACACATTTGCAAATTATCATCTAGTCAGTGGATACCAATTTTATCTTTTTACCACATGCTGCTGATTCCCAGTGAAGAAGATGGATGAATAGATGGGAGTGGAGCACTAGTACTTCTAAAAACCAGAACTAAGTAAATACCCTTCTTTCGGATTCTCTATTAATGTTCCTCACTATCCCTATGATGCAGCCCCCTTAGAGTTCAGAGCGATAAGGCCATAATGGGCTGCATTTGATGTCGGAAAGACCTTTGTGAATTTGGCTTCCTGTGCATGCATTTTCCAAATAGAACTGATTCAAAAGTGTAGCTTTATATGCTTTACTGGATCAGCTTGCTATTTTTGAGTTGCAGTAAACACATGTGGATTGGGGAGCAGCATGCTGATGAAAAAATACATGACTCCAGCTGATGTGACTCCTGGAAGTGTTCGGGAATTATGATTGGCATTGGATTTAATTTTACTGGAATAGTTTAGTTTTGAGTGTCAAGATTTCCATATGATTGATTATTTTTTGTTGCTCGTAAATCTTTAAGGTTCCCTTTTTAAGGGATTATAATATCAAGAGGAATAGAAATTCTGATAACTGCGTACAAGAGAATTTTGGAAATTTTCTTTCTAAAATAATACTTTGAACATAAAAATGCTTAAATTATTTTTTAAACTAGGTTCAGGACTTCTGGAAATCTTATAATTACCCGTGAGATTGATGTGGCAAAAAATCAGTCCTTTTGGTTCATCAACAAAAAATCTACAACCCAGAAAGTAGTAGAAGAACAAGTTGCAGCCTTAAATATTCAAGTGGGCAATCTTTGCCAGTTTCTACCTCAGGTATGAAAGAAAGAAAAAAAATGAACTGATGAGGAAATTGTGTTTCTTCTTTATGCTGCATAAGAATGTAAGGAATTTTAAAGGGATATTGTAATTGGTAAGCTGAAAATAGCATTCTTGATTTTTTTGTGAAAGGATATATCATCATTTATATAGTATGATCTAATTTGTAATAATTTGGGAATTTTGAATTAATGTCTTTAGGTGTGAATTATAAAGGAAAGAAGTTTGTCTTTTTACAGTAATTTGTTCAGAGTTTCTATAGTCTCTTAAAATGTTAAAATATATAAAATGTTAATATATTAAGCCTTATAGTAAGACTCTTAAGTCTGTAGGGGTGTTTTTTTTTTAAAGCATTTAGTAGACTAGAACATTTTGATATGCAGGGTAAAGTCTGGTGCCTTTAAAATTTATATTTGGTGGGGCTGGGGAGATGTACAGCTAGTAGGATGTCTTGCACTCAGCCCATCCCAGTTCCATTACCAGCATCCCCAGGCCCTGCTGGGAGTGGCCCCAAAACCAAACAGAAAAAAAATTATGTTTAATCTGTCTTGTCAATGAATTAGTTATTTATTTATTTTTTTCAGAAACAATGGTGATTTGGGCCAGAGGTTTAGTACAGTGAGTAGGGCATTGCCTTGCACACAGCCTACCCAGTTTGATCCCTGGCATCACATATGGTCCCCCGAGCCCCTCCAAGAGTAATTCCATCGCATAGGCCCAATAATAAACCCTGAACACTGCCTAGTATGGCCCCCAAACAAAACAACAACAAATGGCAATTTTATTACCTGTAAGTTAAGTATAAGTGGAAAATGTAAAATTACAAGTCTTTTTTTCATTATGGATTTCATACCTTCTCTGGAATAAGGTGTGATGAAGATCTTGAGATAAAGAGCAATCCAAGAACCTATCTTTTTAAAAAAAAAAAACTTCTTTAAAATAATTCTTGTTTGTCTGGGCTACACCTGGTGGTGTTCAGGACACACTCTTGGCTCTGTACTCGAGTATTTCTTTCGGAGTGGGGCAGAGGGGATCATACAGGGTGCTGGTGATTGAATCCCAGTCTGCTGTGTGCATGGCAAGCGCCCTACCCACTGTATTATTGCTCTGGCCCAAAACTATTTTCCTTTATACACAAACCATTTGTTATGTATACATAGGCACTTTTAACCTGTTATATGTAGAATATTTTTAGGTTCTCAGAAATGTGGCACTTTATACCCTTACTTATTTAGTGTATTAACACATGAAAGATATTAAGACTCACCAAGAGAAAATTTTCATTTAAATGGGTGTTATCTTCGCAAGTGTGATTATTGAATGAAATTTGTTTTGGAGATACTTGTGGATAAAAATAGGTACTGATAATTGTTTGTGCTGCAGGATAAAGTTGGGGAATTTGCTAAACTCAGCAAAATTGAACTCTTGGAAGCTACTGAAAAGTCGATTGGTCCCCCAGAAATGCACAGATACCACTGTGAACTCAAAAACTTCAGGGAGAAAGAAAAGCAACTAGAGGTATTTAAATAGATAAGTCAATCCATTGTGTTGGGGGGGCAGGGTCTTTGTTTGGGGGTTCTCTCCTCAGCAGTGCTTGGGAGCCCAAGGGTCAATCCCAGTAAGACTCCACCTGCTACTGCCAAACCTAATCGCTAAGTACTCTCGGTTAGTTGAGCTGGAGATGCAGTAGACAGCTCATTAATTGTCCCATATCAATTTCTATGTCATAACATGAACAAATGAAGAACAGTTCTTACTTATGGAGTGAGTTCATGTATTTGTGATTTTTTTTTCCTGCCAGGATTGTACTACTGACAATTAAGTGACAAAAAATGGGAGTGGGGTAGGAACAGTTGCCCAAAGAACTGGAATACATGGTTTACACGTGGGAGTACTTGGTTTGAGCCTTGGTCATGGTCCCCTGAGCATTGCCAGGAGTCATCCTTGAGCACCTAGCTGGGAGTGGCCCCCAGCAACTGCTAGGTATGAGCCAGAAACCAAACCAAACCACCTGGCATTACTACACAGCAGTACAAGTATGAAACAGTAATACTGGAGCCAAAGAGGTCGTACAGGGAGCAAGACAGACCCTTGCCGTACACACAGCTGACCCTGGTTCAGTGCTTAGCACCACGTATGGCCCCTTGAACATTGCTGGGAGCGGTCCCAGAGCACCGCCAGGTATAACCCAGAACCCAAAAGTATTGGCGCTATTGTTTAAAAAGTGTTACTATTTTTTAAGTTAGGTTATTTTTGATTGTTTTCAAAGTTACACGCCTGTTCATGATTGGGTTTTCAGTCATACAATGCTCCAGCGCCCGTCTCTTCTCCACTGTACATTTCCCACCACCCAAATCTGCTGTTTCCCGCCACCCACCCACCCCCGCCTTCATGGTAGGCACTTCCCTCCTCCTGCCTCCCTGTTCTCCCCTCTTTTATTTATTCATCAATAAATTGACCCTGAAGGAGCCCCCAGTATGTCATTGGGCTACACTAGCACGTGACAGGGGCGAATGGAGACGTTACTGGGCCCACTCGAGCAGATCTATGAACAACGGGGTGGTAGTGATAGTGAAATTCATTTCATTTAATAATCCATTTTGACTGTCAGATGTCATCGAAGATCCAGTACTTTCTACTTTAACTAAATTCCCTAAATTAACCTCAGCCTTAAGACCTCATTTTAACTATGGACAAGTCACATTAAAAGGCAGTAGTAAGAAAAGAAAGATCTTTGGGTTGCTGTCTCAAAATGTGAGTCCTAGGAACTATTCAGTTTATTCAAACCAGGAAAAAAGAATGATAATGTGACACTTGTAAAATATATTGTTTTATCAAATATGTTATTAGTTGAATTTCAAAAAAAATCAGCTAATAATGGATTATAAAATGTTTTTCCTGGTTGAATTGCATATCTTTTAAAAATTTCATTCATTGTATATAAATTGAGGCTTACAAGTAGATACCATATAGCTTTTGAATAGCACTTCTGTGGAACCAATTATCATTATTTTATCAGCTGTGTGAAGGGAGATTCTGTAAGGAAACTTCGTACATCTCCCTATTGCGGTTTGAAGCTGTTCTGGATCTCAGGGAGGTAGCATTACTTACAGTAATTAACTTTTGCAACATACAATATGAAGTTTTACTTAATCAATTTCCATGTTCCAGTAACAAAAACAAGTTGCTTTTTTTAATAAGAAATTTCATAAACGTTTTCTTTTTCATTTTAACTGTCTGTGGTTGAGGATAATAGCTTCTTCCTTCTGTTCTTCCCTCTCAACCTCCCTCATTCCTTCCTTTATCTCTTTCTTAGCTTTTTCAAGATTAATGTGTCTACCTTAGCAATTCTCAGTCTGGCTGTTGTTTTTCTCCCTCTCCTGTCTCCTTGTTGGATCACACCTACCTGTGGTTGCTGGCAGAGGGGAGAGAACCACGTGGGACCAGGAACTGAATCCCGGTCTCCTGCACTTCAACCAGTGATTTCTCTCTCCAGCTATAATTAACATTTTTATTGTTTTCTCTTCCTAACTGAATGATCAGAGGAGTTACTCTGAGTTCTGTTTTGTTTTTTTTGTTTTGGTCTCTACCCTACTACTACAGATAGTAGTAGTATACTACTAACTGTACCCCCATTGCATCAGTTTAAATCTTGCTTTTGAATTACTTGGGCTGGAGCGATAGCACAGTGGTAGGACATTTGCCTTGCATGCAGCCAACATGGCCGACCCGAGTTCGATTCCTCCACCCCTCTCAGAGAGCCCGGCAAGCTACCGGGAGTGTCTCACCCACACGACAAAGCCTGACAAGCTCCCCGTGACGTATTCAATATGCCAGACACAGTAACAACAAAGTCTCCAATGGAGACGTTACTGGGCCCGCTCGAGCAAATTGATGATCAACAGGAGAGCCTTTACTTCACTTTACTTTTGAATTACTTACCTAAGCTTCTTAACCATCTTCTGAAAGAAAACCACATGTTCTACTAGGTTCTAGGTACATCTTAACAATTGTTAATTCAAAATACCAGCACTGAATTTTATCTCATTTGTAAGTCTTTATGTTCACAGGTGTTTATAACATACTACCATAATATTACTTATTTGAATATTGCTGTGTAGCTTTTGTTCTACTCTGTTATGTATTAGTGAATTGTTTTTACCCTTGTGACTGGGGCAGGTGTTCTTCTCCTAGGATGAGAAATTCCAGCTCACATGTATTAGGACTTCATAAGTCTTGTGACTTATAAATCATAAGCTATGCTAGAATGAGGTGTTAGATGTACTCAGTTCTTAAGAATGCTTACGGAATTCTTTATTGTAAAATTTTCTTTTGTTTTATATTTTTATTTTTAGATTTGATCTGTTTTCTGTTAAATTGTGTTTTTTTTAATGTTTTATTTTAGACCTCATGCAAAGAGAAAACCGAGTATCTAGAGAAAATGGTTCAGAGGAATGAGAGATATAAACAAGATGTGGAGCGGTTCTATGAACGTAAACGACATTTAGATTTAATTGAGATGCTTGAAGCAAAAAGGCCATGGGTGGTAAGTCCTAATAATCAGAGACAAACAAGGTTCTGCTTTTAGTAGAATAACAGCTACAAATAAGGCACGAAATTGCTCTATAAAATTGAGCACTTTGCTTATGTTTGTTCAGTATATCATAATAAAATTTATCTCCTTGTTACAAAATAGCTAGCTGGCTGTATACTATATTTTTGTATTACAGACAACAGTCTTGCAATCTGTACTTTTTAATTCTTCCAGATTTGGATCTTCAGCAGATAGTTCCAGTATACAAAATACTGCATAAATATGTTTATGCAAGTATTAAAAGAAACCTTTGAGTGATCGCAAGGTTATAAAGCATATTTAATATCATTACTCAGGTGCTTCCTAAGTTTGCTACGACTACTCTATCCATTACTGTAATGTATTATTTTATTGCCAATGGAACGCAGCGGTTCAGTTTGTTACAGAGTTAGGATGAGTAACAGTCATTTGTCATAATCGTTGCTAATAAGCTAGAAAAATTAATGACTGTGGCTTTTACTCCACACTTCTGTTTTACCCTCTCCCATAATTTCATTAATTTTAAACCTCTTTGGCTCATTTTAATTACATTTTCCAGTGTCTTGTTATTACTCTTATACTTTATCTTTGACTGTGAACTGTTTTTGTGGCAGCCCCCCATTTTTTCCCTGAGATTGTTTTCAGCATTCTTTTCATGAATTTTGGATATCTAGTTTATTTTTGATTTTGATCTCTTTCCTCATTCTGTTCACCCTTCCCGTCTAAGCATGTTCTTTTTTTTTATAGTCGAAGTGACATCTGCACTTGTTTGTTCATTGCAGCACTCTTTACAATAGTCCAAGCATGTTCTTACTCCTCTAGCATATATTGATCCCTGTGATACAGCAAGCATCCTTTTCACTAGTTGGCTTCTCTTTAACCCGTTTTCTTGATGTATGCTTTTTCACTTTCACTTTTCACAACAGGGTTTTTCACATTTTAAGATATTCTTTGGGCTGGAGCGATAGCACAACAGGTAGGGGCGTTTCCTTGCACACAGACAACCTGGGCTAAGCTGGGTTCGACTTCTCTACCATTCTCAGAGAGCCTTGGCAATTGAACGCACCTTGGCAATTGCCAATGGAACGCAGCGTTTTAAGTTTGTTACAGAGTTAGAATGAGTAGCAGTCATTTGTCATAATCATTGCTAATAAGCTAGAAAAATTAATGACTGTGGCTTTTACTCCACACGTCTGTTTTACCCTCTTATCTACCGAGAGTATCTCATCTCCTGCACGGCAAAGCCTGGCAACCTACCCGTGACATATTCTATCTGCCAAAATATAGTATCAAATCTGAGAGTGGAGATGTTACTGGTGCCCACTCAAGTGAATCGATGAACAGGAGGAAAGTGCTATGAATATATTCTTATAGACTAAAGGAAAATCTAGTTTCAGTAGCTGCTCAGAAATTTCTGAAAATGGTGGAAGTCAGAAAGTTTAATGTGATAAATACTATCAGCATTCTTAGTAAATTATTTTTTTTTCCCTTTATTTTATTTTATTTTTTTTAAAGTTGTAGATTTACAATTTTTTGTGCTTTGGTTTCAATTATACAATGATCAGATACCCATCCCTCCACCAGTGCCCATTTTCCACCACCATGGATAATATCCCTCCCACCCCCATCCCCCCATCCCCCCGTCTCTGTGGCAGGGCAATCCCCTGTGTTCTCTCTCTCCTTTTGGGTGTTGTGGTCTGCAAAAGAGGCATTGAGTGGCAAACATGTTCAGTCCATAGTCTACTTTCGACATGCATCTCCCCTCCTGGGAGGATCCTCCAAACACCCTTTATTTGGTGCTCCCTTCTCTATCTGAACTGCCCTTTCCTCTAGGATACCCGGCTGGCCTCTAAGTTATGGAGTAATCCTCCTGGTGCTGGTCTCAGCTATTCTTGGGTATTAATCTCATACTTTGTTACTTTATATCCCCCAGATGAATGCAATCTTTCTATGTCTATCCCTCTCTTTCTGACTCATTTCGCTTAGCATGATACTTTCCATATTGTACCACTTGTATGTAAATTTCGTGACTTCATCTTTTCTAAGAGCTACATAGTACTCCATTGTGTAGATGTATCAGAGTTTCTTTAACCAGTCATCTGTTCTTGGGCATTCAGGTTTCTTCCAGTTTCTGGCTATTGTAAAGAGGGCTGCAATGAACAAACAAGTGCAGATGTCACTTCGACTAAAAATATGGAACGCTTCACGAATTTGCGTGTCATCCTTGCGCAGGGGCCATGCTAATCTTCTCTGTATCGTTCCAATTTTAGTATATGTGCTGCCGAAGCGAGCACTCTTAGTAAATTATTGTGTTGGTATTTACAAGCTTCAAAATATGTGAAAGGACCAAGTTTACATTAAATCTATCAAAAAAAATAACTGCTAGTGTTTTCATGAGCGTGGTTTTTGCTTCTACCTCGATTTTATTTGTTGGTTTCAGCTAGCAGAGCCCTAACTTCTCTTTTTGAAATTAATGTCAAGGAATATGAAAATGTTCGTCAGGAATATGAAGAAGTGAAGCGAGTTCGTGACCGCGTGAAGGAAGAGGTCCGAAAGCTGAAAGACGGGCAGATCCCCTTGGCGCGGCGCATTGAGGAAAGCGAAAGGCAGCGCCACACCTTGGAGGCCAGAATCAAAGAAAAGGTATTTTTCGGACTCCTTTGGGATTTCTTTGTCTTTCAGTAAATGCAAAAATAAATTACAGGTATTTTCAGCTACTTTGTACATCTACTTATAGTTTTGATTCCCTAAGTCCTTAAACTGGGAATTCTATTATGGTATATCAAGAGTCCTAATAGTTACTATTGGAGGGCTGCTACTTTGTAGAATTTTTAAGAGATAAAAAGGAAAGTGAAATTATATCACTAATTACTAGAGCAAAGTAGTATTCCTGGAGACATGGAAAATCTGTGAGCTTAATATACTGCTGTGTTTTTAATATGCCCAGTTGAAGGAGGTTAATAAAGATTCATGTTACTTTTAATAGTAAAGTGACCCATAGGATGTTTTCTCTGTTTTGGAAAAATTTCAAGATTTTATGATTGTGACTTTTAACCCTGAGCATGATGTTGGGGCCAGAGATTATTTTTAAGCTACTTTAAACTGAACCTTGTTATCCTATACACTTTTTGGATGATGTGAAGTAAACATGATGAGATAAATATATGTGCATGTATTCAGTATTGATGGGAATAACTTTTTGTATATTTGCAAACAACTTGGTATTTTGCGTGATAAATTTGAATTTTCTTTAAAAGAAATCATAGGGAAACTTGATCAGCTTACATAATGATTTGGATGGACAGTTACATGGGCTTTCTTGCATTTTTAATTAACATGCTTCCTTCTGGTTTTACCTTACAGGCAATGGATATTAAAGAGACCTCTCAAAAATGTAAACAAAAACAAGATATAATAGAAAGGAAAGATAAACATGTAAGATTTCATATTGATATTTTCATTATGCTAATATACTATTTTGTGTTTGATACAGATATGAGACACATTCTTCTTTCCAGGGGTATATTCTTATTTGCAATTGTCTAAGATACCCCTTTCATTCTCTTTTCTGACTCTGTGAGGGATGCTGAGATTTGGAAGAAAATAGTTGCATAGAAGACACCCAGGAAATAATTTTCAAAACTACTCATAGATATACATCACGATCTTTGTAGTTGGGTGATTCTAGTGTTTAATGGAGTAATTGATTGATTTAATTTTTTTTTTTTTTTTTTTGTTATTTTTGTCAACAGCAGAGTTTTATTGCAAGATCTCCAAATTAGTGGTAGTGGCCTTTAGTCACCAAATAATCCACAAATAAAGGTTTAATCTTGGGGTCACTTTCAGTGTCCCATCATGCAGTATTGGCACAGCCTCTAGAAATTTTTGCTTGTATGACTACATGGAGTGCAGGGTGAGGTCTTGGCAACCAGTCTCTGAACATACCTGGAAACATGAGGCCAAGCTTTAACCACAGTTGGCACCCTGGACGAGGTATAGAAGGAGACAAGAGTGTCTGGTAGCCATCATCTTGGGCAAATGGAGAGCAAAAAAAGCCCCTCTGTTCCCCATAAACCCACACAGCCTGGTTAGAAATCTGAAAAAATGATCTAGTTGCACTATATGCACACTAAGAAAAATACAGGCATATGATTTAATTATTTGATTGATTTAATTATTTTAAAGCAGAAACTAGATTATAATGACTTCCGTAATTTCTACTAGGAGTATGGCATTGAAAAGTTGGTTACAACTTTGGGCGTCAGTGAGGGCTTAAAAGCAAAATTCAGTCACGATCACTATCATCCTGTTGTTCGTGGATTGCCTCGAGCAGGCCCCAGTAACATCTCCTTCGTCCTAGCCCTGAGATTTTTTAAAAAGTGCCATATTCGAGTCTCTTTCAGGGTTAGGAGAATGAGACCCATCATTGTTACTGGTATTTGGCATATTGGGTACGCCACGGGGAGTTTGCCAGACTCTGCTGTGTGGGCAGGTTACATTCGGTAGCCTGCCAGTATACTGCAAAATTATTTGAGGATAATTGGGAAAGAAAGTGTGTGCTTCAGTGTATAGATACCCAAACATATGTCAGATTTTATTTTCCAAAACTGTCCACAAACTGAATGTTTAATACCCACCCTGGGGATGATTGGTGGTTGAAGTCAATTACACTTATCTCTCAATTACCAACCTCATGACTTCTGTGCCTTTATCTTCAGATCCCAAGCCTTTGTCATTTCAGTTCGCCACAGAATTAGTTTCAGATTCCCAGAGCAGATGCTTGACTGCCAGTATTTGTGCCAGTGTAGGTTTGTGCCCAGGGCATGTGTTTAGAAAAGGTCTCATGAGAGTAAGAAGTAGGGTAGAAACTATTGTGTTCTATGTGATGTCTTTTCTACTTGACATTTCCTTGTTCTAAGAGTTTTTGTAAATGTTTGTTTTTAATGAGTTATCTCTGTTCCTTTCCCTGACACTTCCCTTATTCACTAACTCAGTTGTTTCTGTACAATTTTACCCATCTCAGTTTCATCTGCTGATGTCTCCTTGCTTGCTTTATCTGTATGTGGAACTCCACCCCCCTTTTTTCACTTAGATTTTTATTAGCTACAGTTTTTGAAAGGAACATCAAGAAGATTTCATCTTTAAGGTTCCAAATAAGAATACCTGGTTCACTAGTGTTGTATCATCCTTATATTCCTGTCATAAATCATGCTTGCTGTTGAACACATTGTGGCAAGGTATTGGGGATTTTACGTGTAATGCTAACCTTTAATGCTCAACGTTCCTGGATGAATGTGCATTCCTCCCCTTATCATATTTGTCAGAGTTAGTCACTGGAATTTTCAGCATTTTTTAATTTTCGATTTTATGGTTTTAATTGGGCTTTATCTGACATGTCTTGGTTGTATTTTTGTTGAATTTCAGTGTAAGACTTTATCATTTTCACTTCAATATTGTAATTCATTTAAAGTTCTAGAGACATTCTTGGGCTGGAGCGATAGCACAGTGGGTAAGGCGTTTGCCTTGCATGTGGCCGACCCGGGTTTGATTCCTCCGCCCCTCTCGGAGAGCCCGGTAAGCTACCGAGAGTATCTCGCCCGCATGCCAAAGCCTGGCAAGCTCCCTTGGCGTATTCGATATGCCAGACACAGTAACAACAAGTCTCAAAATGGAGACGTTACTGGGCCCACTCGAGCAAATTGATGAACAATGGGAGGACAGTACTACAGTGCTATTTTTTTTACATCATATTTTCTTTGAGTTTTATGAAGAGGAAGGAATTTTTTGTTTGTATTGACTAGCTTCTATAAATATTTTATTTATTGTGTTTTGTTTTGGGGGTCATACCTGAGCTGGAGCGATAGCACAGCGGGTAGGGCGTTTGCCTTGCATGCAGCTGGCCCGGCCAATCCGGGTTCGATTCCTCCGCCTCTCTCAGAGAGCCCGGCAAGCTACCAAGAGTATCTCGCCCGCACGGCAAAGCCTGGCAAGCTCCCCGTGACATATTCGATATGCCAAACACAGTAACAATGGAGACGTTACTGGGTGCGCTCGAGCCAATCGATGAACAACGGGAGGACAGTGCGACAGTGCAGTGCTACCTGGCAGTACTCAGGGGTCACTCTTGGGTGGTACTTTGTATATCAAAAAACATGTTCTTTTAAAAATTTACTCCAGAATATTATTATGACTGGATATTGAATTCTCAATTTTTAGGGTTTTTTTTTTTTTTCCCATCTCAGACTTTCATTAGTCTTTCTCAGTGGCCTCCTAGGTCTAGAGAAAGGTAGGCAGAGACCATAGGAGACTGGGGGGCTAGAAGGAAAATAGATTGAATTTGATTCCAAATTTAGAATTTGATTCTGAATGTCATGAAAAAAAATACAAGATGGTTTGAGAAGTTTTCAAAGTTTCAAGGAGACGAGAAAAAAAAAGAAGTTTTCATCTCCTTGAATGTTAGGTAGCCTTGAACCCTGGAGCACCAAGCCAGACAGGGCTGATCATTTTCCACCAAGATTCCGTCATTTTTCTTGTATCGGTGCTCTTGGAAATTTGATTCACGTCTAGTGTGAATTTATAATTCTTGATGTCTAGTGCTAGTTTATGTATCTGTCTTGACCTGTTTTGTTTTATCTAAAGGTAAAGCAGTTTGCAGCAATTCTCAGTGAAGGTTCAGGTCTGCCTCAGATCTTTCTGGAATGAGTACAAGAAACACATGTGCAGGCCCAGCAGTGCGCCTAGGCTTTCTAGGCCCTGGGCGTTTTCCAGAGCCTCTTCTGTAGGTGCATCTACTCCTCTTGGTTTTTCTTGTAGATTTTTTTATTCATTGTTTGCTGCTAGTTTTCCTGTGAGTTACAAATGCCTCCAGGGACAATCTGAAAGAATTGTCCTTGGCCTGGCCAGTTGTGTTCTGGTCTTACCCGTTGGCTGCTAGCCTGCTGAACTCAAGGTTGGTTTTCAAGGTTGGTTTTCAAGGTTGGTTTTCAAGGTTGGTGAGGAACTTGGATTGAGAAGGATAGGAATGGAATGTGTTCAGATACCATGGAACTTCAAAGAAACTTGGTGTTTTTCTTGAAGGAACTCTGTCCAGGTTATCACAAGCGGTTGTGTGATTCTGGAGTTCTATAAAGATGAAGTCCGATCTTTTTTTGTTAGTGTTCTTACTGATTTTATGGAGGAAAGAGTTTTCATTGCTTCTTTCTTCTCCGTGCTGATGACACTCAGATCTTTTTTACATGTACAGAAGAATGTTCTGGGATTTTAATAGAAATGGCCTGGCGCACGTGTAACAGTTGGGAGAGAATTCAACTCTTAATCTCTCTTGAGTTTTGCAGTCTGTGAAAACAGTATATCATTTATTTAGATCTTTGATTTTTTTTAATCAGCATTGTGTTCTGACAAAACAGAATAACAAAAAATATTCTTTATTTTGTTAGATTACACCTCTCTTTTTCTCCTCTCCTCTCTCCCTCTTCCTCTCTCTCCCTCCCTCTCTCTTCCTTTGGGATTTTTTTTTTCTTATTTCCTTTCAAGGACTAATGCTGGCAGTGCTCAGGGAGCCATGTGGTGCCTGAAGTCACACTCAGGGCTTTGGATTTACCAGGCATGCACTCTGCCACTCCAGCTATTTCCCTTGCCCCATGGGATTTTCTACTTAGATCATCTACAAATTTGAATAGTTTAATTTACTCCATTCTGATTTGAATGATAATTTATTTTCTTATTGCACTAAGTAGAATTAGTAAGAATAGTATGAGCACATTATCTTTGCTTTCTTCCTGATCTCAGAGGAGAGCATTTAGTTTTACACCATTAAGTATAATATTATTGGTATATACTGTAGCACTGTCCTCCCATTGTTCATCGATTTGCTCAAGCGGGCCCAGGAACATCTCCGTCGTGAGACATGTTGTTACTGTGTTTGGCATATCGAACACGTCACGGGGAGCTTGCCAGGCTTTGCCGTGCGGGCGAGATACTCTCGGTGGCTTGCGGGGCTCTCCAAGAGGGGCGGAGGAATTGAACCCGGGATGGCTGAGCCGGCCGCATGCAAGGCAAAACGCCCTACCGCTGTGCTCTCCCTCCTGCCCTTGGTATATACACTTTTTCAAAATCAGGAAGTTTCACTGTATTTCTGTTTTGAGAATTTTAATCATGAATGAGTGCTGGCTTTTGTCAAAAGTTTTTTCTGCATCTTACTGACACAATTATGCTTTCTCATCTCTTATTTGTTAATGTGATAGAGTTCTTTCATTGCTTTTTAAACATTAAATCATCTTTGTCTTCCTGAAGTATTAAGCCCTACTTGGTTGTAGTATAGAATTCTTTTTTCAGATTTATTTCTCTGTTTGATAATAATTAGAAGGATTTTTGTATCTGTGTTTTGTATCTGTTGCAGGCACGGGTTCACAATCTGTGCCTGCAGTTTTTATGCTGTTTGTCCGCCTTTGATGTTTAGGTTAAAACTGGCTCTAGAAAAACGAATCGGAATTTGCTCTTCAAGCTCCTTTCTCCCTTGAGCCCACATCTTACTTTCTTGTCTCTATGTTTGCTTATTTTCGTCATAAAGACATACTCCCTCTTTGTGGGGTGGGGGTGTGAGAAGGGGGCTACACCCAGCAATGCTCAGGGGTTACTCCTGGCTCTGCCGTCAGGAATTACTCCTAGTGGTGCTTGGGGGACCATACGGGATGTCAGGAATCGGACCCATGTCAGCCTCATGCAGTGCAAATGTCTACCACTGTACTACCCCTCTGGCTCCAGGTGCTCCCTTTGAACACCTTTACCGCCCTCTCTCTCCTCACATTTTTCTCAAGAAGTTGCAATAAAAACTACCTTGTGCCACCAAAACAATAAAAATAAAATTAATTGGGAAAGATTTCCTTTTGCTTGGAAAGAGTCTGCATTTTTTATTTGGGGGAGGGGGCAGGAGAGGAGTGGAGGGAACTACAGCAGTCCTCTGGGGCTACTCCCAGCTCAGCCCGCAGGAGTCAGTTCTGGGGTCTTAGGGGCCGCTACAGTGTGGGGATCAGATCTAGGGCTCCTGAATGTGACCTATCTCTGTATCCCCTAAAAATTCTTTAAATATTGTCGGTTATTCTCAAATGATACTCTGGAGTACCTGAAGATTTCTTTTGAATTTTTGAAGGTAAAATCTGCTTAATAGTCATGACAGTTTAACGTTTGAAGAATCGTGGCAGTTCATGTTTTTTGATCTGCTTACCTGGTTTGTTTTCCTGACTTGTTCAATTGGCGCGCGTGAATTTTTTTCAGGGGGCCAGGCCTTTTGAATCTGTAATGTGTAGTGATAAGGTGATACTTTTTTTCCCCTACTAGTTGTAATTTGTTTCATTCTCCCCCTTCTAAAAAATAGCTGTGTTTAATGATTTTCTGTTTTTTTCTTTTCAAGTTCATTGGCGTCTATTAATTGAGCGATAGCACAGCGGTAGGGCGTTTGCCTTACAAGCGGCCAACATGGCCGACCCGAGTTCGATTCCTCCGCCCCTCTCGGAGAGCCCGGCAAGCTACCGAGAGTATTCGATATGCCAGACACAGTAACAACAAAGTCTCCAATGGAGACGTTACTGGGCCCGCTCGAGCAAATCGACGATCAACGGGAGGGCCTTTACTTTACTTACTTACTTTTTCCCCCCTACTTGGTATGGGTCACTTTTGCTCTTACTAGGTTCTTGAGATAGACATTCTGATGTTCTTGAAGGGGTGGAAGGACTCTCTCCCAAGTGTGCTTGTGAGCCCGTGGTTCTCTGTTCCAGGACAGGAGGCTGCAGTGGTTCTGCAGCTCGCCGTTGGTCTTGAAGGGCCTCCAGGGACACACTCAGAAATGCCCAAGAACCTCCAGGCTACAACCTGTAATACCCATGAAGCTGTGTGGTGCCAGTAATTGAGCCCAGATCAGTCCCTGTAGGCTCCCTCAGCCCTGTACTGCCCCCCTGACCCAAGCTGAGATGTCTTTGTAATGTCTGAGCTTCCTGCTCAGCATTTCCTTGTCACTGCTTTTAACTCTCAACCAGTTTTAATATTTTTGTACTTTTGCTTTCATTTAGTTTATTGTATTGGATTTTTCTCCCCAGCTAGAGATCCTAGTCGTTGTATGCCTTACATTCTTTGGGGTATTCAGGTTGTTTTAGCAAAGAGCACTCACTGGAAGCTCTGCCCAGAGAAGCAGGTCCTAAACATCCAAGAGGCTGATACTGAACAAAAAAACTCGAGATCCCATGGAAAGGACTTTAAACGGTGATTGATCTCCCAGACCTTGGCTTTCATGATGTGTATCCTCGATCCTTTTAAAATCAGTTGAACTTTCGTCTTATATTTCTGTGATGTAGCATTCCCTCAATAACTGAAATCGCAGTTTAAAACAAAGATTGAGGGGCTGGAGAGAGAATACCAAGGTTAAGGGGTATGCCTTGCATACCACGTGACCCTGGTTATAAAGTCCCCGGAACCACATTGTTCATTGAGCAGCCCTGGGCAGGTATTAAAAATCGATCTTGCAATGATGTTAAGGGTTAAGGAAACTACCAGTATATTTTTAGTGAAATCAACTAGTGAAAAATAAATACCCTATAGATAGGTGAGTAGGCATTGAATGTAAATCAGGTCAGTTAAGAACATAGATGATAAAATACTATTTGTGGCATCTTGGGAGAGGAAATCTCTGCTGCCCTAAAGATACTCATTTTTCTCTAATTTACATTTTGAATTATTAAAATACATAGTTTTTGCTAAAATGTGTAGTTTAAATCTATTACCATGAAGAAATGCCTTTCAGGGCAAAAATAATTTGTTGAATGTGTAAGTGTATATATGTTGAATCAAAATCTTAAATATGTTTTAGAATTATGAATAGTTTTAATTAAAAATCCACCTTACATGATCTGGATTTTTTAAAAATAAGTGATTATAAGTGAACACAAACTTACAGATTGATGAGGAAGACTAAATTTAGGGTATTAACTATCATAGCATTGTTGAACAAAAGTAGTTGAATTGTTTTATATTAGTAGGGTGACTTTATCACCACTTCTATTACTATTTATTGAAAGTATCATAGACTACATGACTTTTAATTTTTCTCTATGGTGTGAAGTATGTATTTGCTTCCTGCAGAAATTTCAAACTCTCTTTGGCTTTTTAGTAATCAGTTTATTCAGCAAATCTTGAATGATAATTATATGGTGTGCACTACTTTAGTTGTCTGTAATGTATCAGTGAGCAAAGATAAACATAAATCTGGTGGGAATGCCAAGTCTAATTCTAGCCAGGATACATTTTATTTAGTGAGGAAAACTAATGTTTATAGCTTGTTTGCATTTTAAAAGAATATAGCTCTAAAGGAAAGATGTTCATAAGTTACAACCCATTTTTGTTTTATTTTAGATTGAGGAACTTCAGCAAGCACTAATAGTAAAACAAAATGAAGAGAATGACCGACAGAGGAGGATAAGTAATACCCGCAAAATGATAGAAGATTTGCAGAATGAACTGAAAAACACAGAAAACTGTGAGAATCTTCAACCCCAGATCGATGCCATTACAAATGATCTGAGACGAGTTCAAGATGAAAAGGCATTATGTGAAGGTGAAATAATTGACAAGAGAAGAGAAAGGGAAACTCTAGAGAAAGAGAAAAAGAGTAAGTTTTATTGAAAATATGTTCGCAAAATGGAAATTAGCTTTGTTGGTGAGCTTGCTTCTAATCCTGAGAATGATTTTTAAATGTTCAAGCCACCTTGTTGAGGAAGCTCATTTCAATTCTTCCAGTTTCTTATCCCAGTTTCATACGTCTACCATGTTCCATGGTTTGTCACTGGCTAACATTGTCAGACTAAAGCAATTGTTTAATCCTTTCAAAGTATTTTGCTTTATTTCCTTTGCAGAGTCTCTTGGTTTTTCTCAAATCAAGTTTAAGTTCTCTATTTTATTTTATTTTATTTTGCTTTTTGGGTCACACCCGGCGATGCTCAGGGGTTACTCCTGGCTCTGCACTCAGGAGTTACTCCTGGCGGTGCTCAGGGGACCATATGGGATGCTGGGAATTGAACCCGGGTTGGCCGTGTGCAAGGCAAACGCCCTACCCGCTGTGCTATCTCTCCAGCCCCCATAAGTTCTCTATTTTAGACTTGTTCTTTGAAACTTGTTCCATTTCATCTTTACTTTCCCTTCTTGTATTTCTTTCTTGCATAAAATGAGTTTCTGAGCAGATTTCTGAAAGGAAATCTAGTTTTCCCATTCTTTTGTATGTAACTTACTATAGCTTTAAGATCATCTTTCATATCAGAAGTTTGGAAATTTAATTTAAGAATTCTCTAGGGCAGGTCTTTGTAACTGTGCTAATATGTGCTGATAGTTGTAACTTTCAGATCTAAGGTTAACGGATTATAATTAATATTCATATATACTATATGAATATATGACATATTAGTATAATAAAGGATTATAATAGAGTTTTTACTAAACTTGTCAGTGAAGCAGTACCTTGTTCTTTTTTCCAATTTTAGATGTGGATGATCATATTGTACGCTTTGACAATCTTATGAATCAAAAGGAAGATAAGTTGAGACAGAGATACCGTGACACCTATGATGCAGTTTTATGGCTAAGAAACAATAGAGACAAATTTAAGCAAAGAGTCTGTGAGCCCATCATGCTCACGGTAAGAAATTTTGTTAGCATCTGTTAGTTTTATTGTCATAAGCATTATAAATTTTTTTGTTTTAAAAACTCTTGGTTCTCTTAACGCTTACGGCATCTGGTATACCACTGAATTTATACCTGAATCTTTTAAAGAAACTTAACCAATAAAACTGAATTCCTTCTTAATTTATTGTAGAAAAAAAGTGGCAACTGTTGATACAATTCTAATAAAGTTCCAATATTAATATCAAAAGGTCTAGGAAATAAACTTATGTGAACATTATTATATCTGATTGCAGACTTGGTGAGACCTTGTCTAAGAATTTATTAAGCTTTTTGTTGCTTTGCACTGTCTAGACATTTCCAGATCTGTGGTGTGGGCAAAAGAGTTGACAAAGTGGCAGAGGTGGTTGGTAGGTAGGGCTGCTGGAGCTCCTGAAAGTATAGGGGTGGGGGGGCAGGGGGTGGAGGCTGCCCACCCCAACTCTGGAAAAACACCAGAGTTTTTAGCGCCGGCACCCATACCTGAAATCACTTGGAGATGGGTGTTTCTGCAGAGAATATTCATGAGGTGGTGGAGTTGAGCCTTTGGGGTAGCTGTAGTGGTGGGGATGGGTGCTGCTGTTGAAGCCTTGGTTTGGTGGGTATTCCGCCTGCCCACCTCCCATGGGCGCTCCAGGGTTTTCAGCAGTGGGGACCAGCAATTCCATGGGGTAAAACTGAATTTCTTTTAAAGGAACTGGTCTCTTCTGATAAAAAGTCATGTATAACATAAACTTAGTGGGCCACTATGATAGAACAGTGGGTAGGGCTTAGTACACAGCCAATACAGGGTTTGCTCCCCAGTGTCCCATATGGTCCCTTGAGCCCTGCCAGGAATGATGCCCAGAGTAAGTTTTGAGCACTGCTGGGTGTGACCCAGAAACAAACCAAAAAAAGGAATCTTGGCTACTTGAATCCTTCTAGCAGTTGGTATTTCAGAGTAGAAAAGCAAGTAATACGTTAAATGATGCAGAAGTGGGGTGGGAAATTACTGTAAATAAGTATGTTGGTATGGAACATCAGATGGAAAATAGGATTCTGAGAATGGAACCAACATTTATTGATTTCATAAATATTGCTATTTCTTACTGATAATCATAAGTCATTAAAGAGAGGCCAAGAGGTCAGCACGATATTCAGTGGGTAGGGCGTTTGCCTTGCATGCAGCACAACATATGATCCCAAACACTGCTAGGAGTGATCCCTGAGGTGAGGCAGAAGTAAGCTGTGAGCACCACCACTGTGCCTTCCTCTACTCTAAATAAATAAATAAATAAATAAAGCCACAAGAGGTTAAACTTTGTGTTGTAAATTACTTAATGAAGTGTTGTAAGGATTTACTTGAACTTTATTTTTTTCGGGGCGGGGGGGGGCATATTTCTGGCTCTGCACGTAGGGATCACTTCTGGCAGACTCAGGACCGTATGGGGTGCTGGGGAATCAAACCCAGGTTGGCTGCATGCAAGGCAAATACCTTACCCACTGTACTATCCCTCCAGCCCAGCTTAGATTTTTTTTTTTAATCTAAAGTATTTAAAATTGGCAACAGAAAGGAGCAAAAGTAAAACTGCAAAAAAGTGAAAGCCGTATTCTTTGGTTACATTAAATATGAATTTAGGCCTTCTTCTTGGGGGCTCATCTGGAAGCACCTCAACTTGAAATGTCTGATTTTTTTTCTCTTTGTGACTTATTCCCCATCTTGAAGACTTGCCCACATCTCAGACTGAAATGAATATTCTCAGCCTCCTCTCCCTCTCTTGAACATAATCTGTAGCTAAAATTACCTTATACTTAAAGTATATATTTCTCTAGATAAAATTATTTTACTTTGAAAACTAAGGGGCCAGAGCGAGAGTGCAGCGGGTAGGGCATTTGCCTTGCCTTGGCCCACGTGGGTTCAGCCCTGTAGACCCCCCCTCATGTCTCACCAGAAGCGACCCCTGAGCTCCACCAGGTGTGGCAAAAAAAAAATAATAATGTTAATTATACTTAAAATTTACTTAATGTAATTAAGAGTTCTTGCTAGTTTATTTTTTGTAGAAAAGAACTCAGGAATCACAAAAAGTTCTAGTTTCTGAGGTCATGTTTGTGTCTCATGAAAATTATATAGTTATTCGGCTTATGTGTATATGTTAGCAAAGTAATTTGCATAAAAATGTGTTTACTTTTTGCTCAAGTATTATTAGAATATTTTTACCAGATCAGGAAGGTAATACTTAATTTGGTTATAGATATTATTACTTTAATTTATCTGAAAGGACTGATTGAAAGAAAACATAAGAAAAAGAAAACATGTAAACATGTATACTAAGTTAGCATGCAGTTGTAATTGTTGACTGGTTCTTATCAAATGATATCTCCAAATAATAATTCAGAGTGCTGTTAGATTTGGCATCCGTTGTCAGTCGATTTCCCAAGAGTAACCTATCACCAAGTTGGATTAGTAGCCTGCCTGAACTATCTCTTTGAGAGAAAGAGACATACTCTGCTAAAATAATCTTCCCCTTTCCTGCCTCCCTCTTCCTTTTTTTACCCCACAGAGACCCTTCAGGATATAGTAGAAATGTTACCAGTATAGGCAAGTTATTATTAGTTCTTCATGAAATTAAAATTTCAATCATACATGATTTGTCAATTAGTCTGTTTTGATGAGTTATTTTTTAAGATTCCAATCTAGAATCAAAGATGTGTGTACAGATGTATTTCTAGTTGTACTGTAGAAATGTAATAGAGTACAATATTATTGTATTAAGTGAATAGAATAGATCAGAGTGAAAAGAACAAAATTTCCAAAGATGTCTATCCCTTTACCTACTTTCAACACTCAGTTCCTGTCCATAATGATCATTTCCTACTATTATTGTCATACTGGTCCCTTCTGTATCCTACTTGCCCTTTGCCCCACACAAACTTGGAGCAAGCTTCCAACCATTGACCAGTCCTCCTTCAAGTCACGGCTTTTTACTGTGTATGAACTTTTCTGAGTAATAAGGCTAAATAGATGTTTTAATGTGCTGCCTTTAAATGCAGTTTTCTCTGTTTTGGTCTTTTTTTTTTTTCATGCACTCAATTTAACGAATAAGATTTTAAATATAATTGTATTCTAGTAATCAGTTTGAGCTTCCTGAAAATTTGCTTATTTTCTTTTTGTTTCATCTAGATCAATATGAAAGATAACAAAAATGCCAAATACATTGAAAATCATATTCCATCAAATGACTTGAGAGCTTTTGTATTTGAAAGTCAAGAAGATATGGAGGTTTTCCTTAAAGAGGCAAGTATTAATCACCTTATTACTTGGACTGAATACTTTTTTAAAAATTTAAGCTAGAAAAGTGATTAATGGTAATCAGTAACTTGTGTAAAATCTCTGTTGCTAATTTATTTCCCATTTATACCAGTATTGTGGAATGAATTCATTTTATGAGGGGGAAAAAATCTGTAATTTTATCTGTAACTTTTTAGAATTATCATTTGAGGTTAATGTGAAGAGTAATTTGTTACTTTTGAAGAGATAGAAATTCAATATGATGAGTTTTGGATCAGACATCCTTTTTGAAAATAAATTAAAGTAAACTGAGCTTTCCTTTTAAGGGGAAATCAATATTGTTTATCAATATAAAGCCTCTGTTTAAAGAATGAGAATCTTACAGCCTTCGGATTTATATACAGCTCAGTGGTACTATCTTGCATGTGTGAGGCCCTGGATTCACTCCCTGGCACCGCAAAAATAAAAAAAAGAGGCACTCTTGTTTGAAGTAAAGGCCCTCCCGTTGATCATCGATTTGCTCAAGCGGGCCCAGTAACGTCTCCATTGGAGTCCGGCAAGCTACCGAGAGTATTCGATATGCCAAACACAGTAACAACAAAGTCTCCAATGGAGACGTCACTGGGCCCACTCGAGCAAATCGATGATCAACGGGAGGGCCTTTACCTTTACCTTTTTACCTTGTTTGAAAGACCCACTGCCTGAGCCTCTAAGTCACTTGAAAGGCAGACTGATTCAATAGTAGTTGAGAATATACTCTACCTGGCGATTGCTAGGATATGAATTTTGGTTTTGTTGCTCCCTTGAGCAAGTTGCCTAAAGATTTTGTGCCTTAGTTTTCTCATGATAAAATATTACCTGTCTCTCTAAAGATGGTTATAAAAGTTTCATCAGTTTATAAAGTTTTTTTCTTTGCTTTGTTTTTGGGCCACACTGCCTGTTCTCAGGAATTACTACTGGCTTTGCTCAGGAAACCATGTAGGTTGCCAGGGATCGAACCCAGTTGGCTGCATGCAAGGCGAGAGCCCTTCTCCTGTATTGTCCCTGTGGCCTGATAAATGAAAGAGTATTTAATAGATCTCACTATGTAGTTATGTGTCTATATGTTACATATCATTTATTGCTAGCTATATATTTATCAGTGATATATTTATCAGTGAGATTCCGTTTCTCTTTAGCATATGCCATCGACTTCTTTAAAAGCGTTAAAGTATGGCTAGGTGTTTGTTGCAGAGGATCTTAAATGGTACTTGAAATGCCCAGGCGCTACACCAGAGATTTTCAACTAGCTGGGCTGGCAGTTCAGTGCAGCAGCCCAAGGAAGCCATGCTGCTATGTCCCTTCAGGTGCTGGGGATGCCTGGGTCACCCCAGAGGTATTTGGGGCTAGGGGCAGGGGCATGCAAGGCAAGTGACTTCTCTGCTGTCTATTCCTCCCCTCCCCTGTTGTTTTTTGAAAAATACCCAAAGTTGGTACATTGGAAGGGTTTAGTTTGTTAAAGGTGAATAAAACAACTGTCAGACACCTAAAATTGAATGAAAAGGTGCAATATCAAATGTGACTGTGGTGAACAGAGAAATCTAGGAGATGGCTGTTTGAGAAGAGAGTGTCAATATTTGCATGAATTATTTTTCCTATGCGGCTCACTGCAGATGGGTGCAGTTTTCTGCATTCACGGAGAGAAAGCTTGTTTGCTAATTGTGGGTATAATTGCATATAAGCAAATGTGAAAATCACATGTGATGATCAAATTGTCCCCTAATAAATCAATTGCATGGAACAAATTTTTATTCTAAGCCAGTAGTAAGGCAAAACAGAAACAATTTTTGTTTTTGTAGCCATGTGTTAGACTTTGAAACTGAAACTATCCTGTTCTACATGTTCATTTAAGAACTATTAATGATTCTAACTACACTTTATTAGTTTGCATGGTGTAGAAAAGCTTTTTCTCCCTTTTTTTTACGATATAATCATAGAATTTTGATTTTGTGGCTTATAATGTCTTATTATTTTAATTCTCAAATTGCCGTAGACTTGATTAGTGAGACCTTTGAGTTGACCTGTATCCCATTGCTATTTTGCTGTTGTATTTTGAGCCCAGCTTTCTTTTTGGCAGAGCGAGATTTGATCTTTACAGCTAACCTTTTTTTGCCATAGGGCCCTAGTTCTCTAAAGAGACCAGAATTTTGGCGCTATATGTGCTCATTGTTACTGATACTGCTTATAAGACCTCATGTACATACCCTTATGATCTATATTTTCATAATTAGAGAGCAAGAGTGAAAGTACACCATGAGTTCATACTGATACTTCCATTTACAATCCAAACAAAGGATATCTTGTTAACTTTTGGCATACTTGCGTTTATTTCTGTAACGCATTGAAAAGGTGTAGTTGTCCTTATCTTCATTGTACATTTGTTCATTTGTGCCCCCATGGAGTTCCTCCATTCCTTCATTTTATCGTGCCTTCATCAGTTTCAGCATTCTTTTGTTTCAGAGATTAACCTCCTGGCCATCTTTTTTCACCCCTCCCCATCTTATTATGGTGCAAAGTACTTTGTGGTCTTTATTTACTTGAGAAGGGTGAGATTGGACCACTCCTGGTGGCCTTCAGGGGTTGTTGTGGCTCTGTACTTTGAGGTCACTCGGTTTCTCAGGAAACCGTGCAATGCTGGGGATGGAACCTGGAGCTCCAGCATTCCAAGCTGGCGCCTCCCGTCCTTTGAGCTGCCTCCCTGGCCGGTCCTTCTGTCAGGCTTGACTTCATTGCTTAGTACCTCCAGGCATATTGAAGAGGAGCGATAGGATCCCTACTGTTCCCAGTCCTTAGGGAGAAGGATGTTCAGTGCTCGAGTATTTAGTATTATGTCTGCTCAGCAATTTTCATTGGAGCCCTTCGTCAGGTTGAGGAAGTTGTCTCGTATTCCTGCTTTGCTGAGTTTCTGTAATGATGGCCTGTTACGTTTTTCTCTTCAGCATCAACAGAGATGATTATATGACTCTTGTACTTTAATAAATTTGATTCTTGAATGTCATGCCAGTGTTGCATTCCTGCAATAAACTAGTCACATTCTGTGTATATGTTGCTTCATTCTGTTTACTGATAGGTAGTTTGTTAAGGATTTTGTATTATATGTTCATGGGGGATATTGTGACGTTATGGTCAGGTTTGGGTTTCAGGATTATACTATTGTCATCATAAGACATTTGGTGATGGATGGGGTGGGTGGCACACCATACTATATGCAGGGCTTAGTGCTAGCTCTGCCTTCAGGGATCACTCCTGAGGAGCCTCAGGGGACCATGTGCTGTGCCCGGGTCACTTGGAAGCCAAGTGCTTCTGTACTATCTTTCCAGCCCCATAAAATGACTTGGGAAATTTCCTGCTCCTTTTTTATCCTGAAGCTTTAGTGTTTCTGCTTTCTTGACAGAATTCATCACTGACTATTTTTAAAAAGGGGTTGGGAACATAGCTTAACGGTAGGATATTTGTCTTGGATATGTGTGTCTTTGGGTTCAGTCCTCAGCACTACAAAAAAGGAAAAAAGATGAAGGAAGGGAAGAAAAGATCACAGAAAAAAGTTTTGTTGTAAATAGGTCTAGAAAGATAACTCAGCGAGTATGGTGCTTGCCTTGCATGTGGCCAACCCAGGTTCTACTCCTGGCATCCCAGGTGGTCCCCTGTGAACCAGTAATATCAAGTGCAATGCCACCCCTGAGCATCTAACACACCCCCCAAAAATTTTCTTGTAAATGTTACAAAATATTCTGATTTCTAAGTTTCTAATCATCCCAGGAATGTCAGCAGTATTGTTTTAAATAATTTTTATGGCTAAAGACAACAGTACAGCCAGTAAGGTGCTTGCCTTGCATGTATAAGACCCTGGTTTGATCCCCAGCAACACATATGTTCCTCGAAGACCTACCAGAAGTGACCCCTGAGTGACATACAGGTGTACTCCTCCCCAAAAAGGGGTTTCTTTAATTGATAGTACATGGTAATTAAAACAGTTCTTTTTTTTTTTGTCCTAATATTCAGGTTCGTGACAATAAAAAATTAAGAGTAAATGCTGTTATTGCTCCACGGAATTCATATGCAGATAAAGCGCCTTCAAGACCTCTGAATGAACTAAAGTAAGTCTGGGTTAGTTATCCATAGAACCTGTTACAGTGGTACTAAATATATTTTCACTATCATTTTGTCATGTGTTGGTTTGTTTTAGACTATATTGTTGTCTTCTAGGTGCTCTAGGTAGGTCTGAAGTTAAGCCCAGGAACCGACCAGTGGGTTGCTACTCATACTGGGTTGCATGCCTGAATGTAGAGGTATTTTGACAATGTTCGTTCTTACAATTCATGAACAATGGAATATATTTCCATTTCCTGGTATCCTCTTCTGTTTCTTTCAGTAATGACTTACAGTTCTCAATATATACCCTTCATGTGCGAGAAAGATAGCACGGCTGACAAGGCACCTAGCCGACCCAAGTTCAATCCCCAGTACCATTTATGATCCTTTTGAACAAGGCCAGGAATGACCCGTGTGGGCAATCCTTTGTTGATTCTTAAGTATTTGATATTTATGGAACTATTTTGAATGGTGTTTTTATTTCTTCTAGTTCATTATTTGAATACAGAATTCCACAGGTTTTTTTGTGTGTTGATTTTTTTTTTTTTTAGCCTACTACCTTGCTGTATTGGTTTTTTGTTTCTCAGAGCTTTTTGGAGTCTTTAGGGTTTTCGTATCATCTGTGAAGAGTGATAATTTAACTTCCATTCCAATTTACATCCCTTTGATTTCTTTTTCTTGTCTGATTGCTCTGTCAAGAAGTTCCAAAAATATTAAATATATAAAATAGATGAAGTGGACATCTTTGCCGTGTGCCTGATTTCAGGAGGAAGGCTTTGTTTTTCACCACTGAATATGATGTTGACTGTGGTTTTGTTACAAATGACCATTACTATTTTAAATTATGTTCCTTCTGTATGTGTCAGAATCTTTCTGTGCATCAGTTGATATGATTATATGATCTTTCTCCTTTTGTTGATATGGTAGCACTGTAGCACTGTCCTCCCGTTGTTCATTGATTTTGCTCAAGTGGACCCAGTAACGTCTCCATTGTGAGACTTGTTACTGTGTTTGGCATATCGAATACGTCACGGGTAGCTTGCCAGGCTTTCCCATGCAGGCAAGATAGTCTCAGTAGCTTGCCAGGCTCTCGGAGAGGGGTGGAGGAATCGAACCTGGGTCGGCCGGGCCAGCCGTGGGCAAGGCAAACACCTTACTGCTGTGGTATCGCTCCAACCCATTAAGATGGTATGTTACAGTAATTAAATTGCATATATTGAACTATCCTTTCATCCCTGAGCTGAAAGTACTTGATTATGGTATACAATTCTTTTGATATATTGTTGGATTTGGTTCTGTAAGATTTTGTTGAGGATTTTTGATAGATGTGCATTGGGTATGTCAGTCTGTAATTTTCTTTTTAGTAATATCTCTGCTTTTGATAGTAGGATACTGTTGGGAATGATTTCTGTTTCTTTGGTACTTTGAAAGAGCTTGAGGGATATGGGCACTGCTAGATTTCATCTGAAATTTTGATGTAACTTACTAGTGAACCCATCCAAACTAGGGCTTTTGATCTTGGGAAAGATTTTTTTTTACTATTTCAATTTTTACTCATGATTTGTCTTTAGATTTTCTGTTTCACCTTGATTCAGTCTTGGAAGTTTAGATGATTCTAAGAAGTTACCCATTTCTTTTCATTTCTCTCACATAATGGCATCAAGCTGCTTATAATAACCTCTAATGATCTTTTATTATTTCCGGGGTGCCGTAATTTCTCCCCTTTATCTCTGATTGACTTTATTTGAGTTTTCTCTCTTTTCTTGTGAGCTAAGGCATTTGTTGCTCTTGCTTATATTCTCCATTTCTGGTTTTATCGACCGTTTGTATTTTCTTGATTTCTGTGCCATTGATTTCTTCTGCTCTGGGTTTTAGGTTTTTCTTTCTTTGTATTTTGGGATTCATTTGTTTTTCTCTTTATAGTTTCTCCAGCTGTGAGGTTAGGTTATTGATCTGAGCTTGTTTTCTTTCCTGATGTAATCCTGTACTGCTACAAGGTTCCCCATAGTACTATTCCTCTAGCTCCTGATGATTTGTGTTTTCTTCTTGACCCAAATGTTATCTAATAAGAGTTGTCCAGTTTCCAAATATTGGAGCTTTCCGTTATTTCTTTTTTTGTTTTATGTTGAGCGATGCTCATAGTTCGCTCCTGGCTTTGCACTCAGGTGTTACTCTTGGTGGTGCTCAGAGGACCCTATGGGATGCTGGGGATTGAAGTGCCCTACCTTCTATACTGTCGCACTGCCCACCCCCCACCCCCCAACTTCCTTTTTATGATTGATTTCTACCCTTTTGGGCTTTGTGATTTGAAAAGATACTTGGTTCTATTTCTGTGACTTCGGTTTTTCATATGGGAAGAACTGGGTCTAATAGACGTAATTAGGACCCTGCATCCCCAGAAGGTCAAATTGTCCAGTGCACGTGGAATGTACTTCAGGGTAGCTCACATGCTGGGAACAGGGTCTGAATTATAAAAGTTGTAAGTAAATGTCTTAGCTCTGGTAAACATATTGTCTCAATGTTTGTCTCAATGTTTCTTTGCTTGTCTCCGTTTTTTTTGCTTGCTTATTTCCACTCTTAGAGAAGTCTTTGCTTTCTCTCGAACATGTACTTCTCCCTTACCTTTCTAAATAAGTTTCAATAAAAACTTCTTGCTTCAAATAAACAGAAAAGAAAAATCTAATAAGTGTGTTTCCTTTCAGACAATATGGATTTTTCTCTTATCTGCGTGAGTTATTTGATGCACCTGATCCTGTCATGAGTTACCTTTGCTGCCAGTATCATATTCATGACGTTCCTGTAGGAACGGAAAGAACCAGGGAGAGAATTGAACGGGTAAGTACTAAGTCTGTACCCAAAACAGTTTTGCGAAAACATTAGCAAAGATTAAAGCCAAGATTAAGGAAGTGTACTATTATGCAAATTAAACAACATTAAATTGTCTTGTGTGTTGCGCTTTCACTTAGTACTTTTGGTGAGGGAAGGAGGATGCTCCCAGCAGGCCCCACTGCCCCCAGTGCTCCCATACTCAGCCCACCAGACATGATGGTTCAATGCTCAGCAGTTGGGCCGGTGACACAGTTCTTTTCTGGGGTCTCCAAGACGATCTGGGGACCATGCAGTGCAGGGAATCAGAGTTGGGACTCTTTTTGTGCAAGACATGCGATCCAACCTTTTGAGTTGTCTCCCTAGCCCTGTTTTACATTTTCAGTAACAAAACATTAACTGTTGCCTAGTATTTTAGGATAAAAATGATGGGGAAGGTACCTAGAGTAATTGATTGATATCAGTAGGGTAACTGAATAAAGTCAAAACCTGCAAAGTTAAAATTCCCAGTACCCCTCTCTCATTCTTCATTGCTTAATAAACATTATATTAATAATTTTATTATTTAAATTCTTACTCTTACCGTCAGTATTATATTCTCAAATTTCCACTTCAGATTATTTTATATGTGAATGAGATTATCTTATATGTGATCCTTTATAGGATCTCATTTTCCTAGCTAGGATTAGTATTGTATCCTCTAATGCTTTTTGACTTTTTCTGTAATACACATGACTCAGAACTTACTTTTATAACAGGCAGAAGCAGGGGAAGAAATCTCTTCCAAAACAGGTTTTTCCATGACTCCACCCATAGTTTTTATTTATTATTTTCTGGCTACTTGTTGTAAAAATATTTTTGATGTTAACACAGTGGGTAAGGCGCTTGCCTTGCACACGGCCGACATGGCCGACCCGGGTTCGATTCTTCCACCCCTCTCGGAGAGCCCTGCAAGCTACCGAGAGTATCTCACCCACACGACAAAGCCAGGCAAGCTCCGCGTGATGTATTTGATATTCCAAAAACAGTGACAACGAGTCTCACAATTTGTTGTGAGACAGTACTGGTGCCCACTCAAGCAATCGATGAACATGAGGACGGTGCTGCAGTGCTAATTTTTACCTCTAGTCCCTTTCCACTTGCTAATCGGTGTGATGCTAATATTTGTTTTACAATTGAAGGTGATACAAGAAACCCGATTGAAACAAATCTATACAGCAGAAGAAAAGTATGTGGTGAAAACTTCTTTTTATTCCAACAAAGTTATCTCCAGTAACACGTCCCTTAAAGTAGCCCAGTTTCTCACGGTCACTGTGGATCTTGAACAAAGAAGACACTTAGAAGAGCAGCTAAAGGTTGGTACTTATGTTTGAGTATTCAAAGAAAAAAATTTAAGCCCGATTTATATTGGAACTGGAACTATTTTTAATATCAATCATTAATATTCCATAGGAAATTAATAGAAAATTGCAAGCAGTAGAATCAGCACTGATTGCCTTACGAGACACAAATAAACATCTTGAACATAAAGACAATGAACTCAGACAAAAGAAGAAGGAGCTTCTTGAAAGGAAAACTAAGAAAAGACAATTGGAGCAGAAAATTAGTTCCAAACTGGGAAGGTAAGTTTCAGCTCGCTTCTCAAACCAAAGATATGTAGCAAGAAGAGTGACACTGTATCTCTTTGGATGAAGTCAGATGTTCCTTTTATTCTCTGTGTTGTATGGTATTTTGGTTGAAGCATAGGAAATCTGCCCTCACATAGATATGTGCAGTTGACCCTCGAACAACACGGGCCCACTAACACAGATTTCCTTGAAAACAGACGCAGAATTTGCAGTAGTGGTAAATTTATTACAGTACTCTTCGAGTGTATTTTCTCTTTTTTTTTCCCCCCTTAATGTTTTCCATCTTGAAGATTATTGTAAGAAGATAGTAAATGATGTGTTTACAAAATATGTTATCTGCATTAGCAGTAGGGTTTATTGCAGTTAGTGTCAGACTAGTAGTTAAGTTTTGGAGGAGTAAAAGAAATCCATGCATTGTTTGGAGGTCTGCTGTGTTAGAAATGAAGTATTATTGGAGTCTGAGTAATAGTTCAGGGGTGAGGGCATTTGCCTTGCACGTGACTGAAATGAGTTTGATGCCCAGCGCTCTATATGGTCCCCCAGACTTACCAGTCAAACCTGAGTGTGGAGCCAGAAGCCAACCCTCAGTACTTCTGGCTCAAAAACAAACGAAAGAGCTGGAGTCATATTTTAGGGGGGCTGGAGAGAGAGTAGAGCAGGTGAGGCCCTTGCCTTGCATGTGGCAGACCAGTTTATCCCCAGCACCCTGCCAGATCCTGCCAGGACTGATCCCTGAACATCACTGGGTGTGACTCAAAAAAAATTTTTTTAAGTGCAGTACTATTTTAATAAATGCTTCAGATAACTGTGACTGTTCCTTAATCTGACCTCAAAGCTTGCTAAGACATGGCTTATTAAACCTTTATGACTCTGGAATCTGAATTCATTAGTGAAGTTGCATACTCTGCGTTAAAATTAAAATCCATTGCACTGGAAGTGAAATTTTTTATCCATGAACAGTTTTGTTACATCATGCAGATGCATTGGTCATTTGAAAAATATTGGTTCGCCAAATTATGTAGATCTTTCAAATGTAGCGCAAAGAACTTGGACTTCAGTGCCGCATATGTCATGCCACTTTAAGTTTGTGATCTCAGTTAACATTTGAACCTTTCTTTTTTTATCTGAAAATGTTTTCTTTTTTTTAAAAAAAAATTTCTACTGAATCACAGTTATAATACACTGTTACAAAAGTTGTTCGTGATTGGGTTTCAGTCATATAATGTTCCATTGTCTTTTTTGGCTTATTTATTGAGAGCGGTAGGGCGTTTGCCTTACAAGCGGCCAACATGGCCGACCCGAGTTCGATTCCTCCGCCCCTCTCGGAGAGCCCGGCAAGCTACCGAGAGTATTTGATATGCCAGACACAGTAACAACAAAGTCTCCAATGGAGACGTTACTGGGCCCGCTCGAGCAAATCGACGATCAACGGGAGGGCCTTTACCTTTACCTTTACCTATTGAGCCTCCTTAGGGAGGTACTATTTTGAAATAATATTAATAATAGTAATAGCTAACATTTGTCAATCATGAGCCAGATGCTATAATATTAAGCACGGTATAATTTTTCTTTTTTGAATATTCATAGTTCTGTTTATTATTTACAGTTTATAAACACGGAAACTAAAACTCACAGTAACTTGTTCATTTACACTGCTCATTAATGACAAAGAGGAGATTCATTTCCAGATTCTGGCTCCTGTTACACCATTAGCTGAAGCATTTACCATACTGTGCTGGCACATAATGTATCTTAAATACCGTTTGATCTTGAGTGGTTGTTTGAAAGGATTGTTTAATTGAGAAGCTAGCAGTCTGTATATCTGAGTAGCATTGTAAAACAACCCGTGACTTAAAGATTTAGACCCAACTCTTGTTTATCTCTGATTTCATTATACATTTTTATACAGTTTAAAGCTGATGGAACAGGACACTTGTAACCTTGAAGAGGAAGAACGAAAAGCAAGTACCAAAATCAAGGAAATAAATGTTCAGAAAGCAAAACTTGTTACTGAATTAACACACCTGATAAAGGTAAAACTTCAAAAAATATTTGCCCTCAGACCTCACACATTAGAGGCGTGTGTTCTCCCTGACTCAATTTTTGACATGTTTTTTCTAGCAGATAAAATAGTAAAAGCTTAACAAGAAATTTTATCAGTAAATGCAGCTTGTTTTATGTTTTTTATGTAGGCCAGCAGATAAGTTTAAAAATCACTCATACGCAGCCGGGGAGATAGGACAGCAGGTAGGGGCTGGCCTGGCACACGGCTGACCTGGTTGAACCCCAGCGTGAACCCCTGAGCACTGCCGGGCATGGCCCACCTTGCCCCCTTTAAAAAAAAACATCACTCATGGAATTATTTTAGTTCTAGATGACCTAATTAAGTATAAAGGAAAACTTTTAAAATTCTCATAAGAAACAATAAGAAAAAAAGTTGTTTGGGAAGAGGTAGCAAGCACATTTAAAAAAATTATTTCATGGTGTTTTAACCTTTTTAAATACTGTTCTTTGTAAAACAAACTAAACTTATGGGGTTTTGTTCATAGACGTGTACTTCTTTGCAAATACAAAAAGTCGATTTAATACTTCAAAATACTACAGTGATCTCTGAGAAGAATAAACTAGAATCTGATTATATGGCTGCAGCATCACAGCTTCGTCTCAGAGAGGTAAAATTTTTCCCTTCATTACTTTATGGTTAATTTGAAAATAAATGATCTTTGCAGCATACAGTTTGCAGCATAAATTTCACATGCAAATTTAACACATACTGCTAAAAAATAACCAATATCTGAACATTTTACTATGCGTTTTATGTCATTTGATCCAGGGAGAGGCAATAACTATGAAAAAAAGAAAATTTAGGAGTGATTACTATTACCAAAAGATGCTGGTGACTTTAATTACATTTTGCACATCTCATAAAGTAAATTACAGATGAATTCTAATCAACATTGAGAGGTCTTAGTATATAGTCTCAGCAATTTAATCTTCTGTTAATATTTATCTGTGAAATGAGGATAAATACTGAAATAGTTTGCGGTTGAGGGGAAACATGCTAGTCTAAGTTTATTTAAATTCTGCAGAAGAGCTGGTATCGAAGTGATAGTGACCGTTGCTTAATTTTTTGGTCTTCTAAATCCTTCCCTTAAAATATAAGAGCCAGAAGGATAACATGAAATGAATCACCCCTGGACTACTTAAACAACAAAACGAAGTTTTAAGTTATCCTATTTGATCACACAAAATGCCTGGAGTTAGCATCATACTGTATAAGTGAGGACACCGGCTCTGTAAGACTCTCCAGTTCCACATGCCAGCTGCAAATTGAGGGTTCCTGTGCCATGTCATCTGTACTTGTAATCAACTGGCTAGAAATTCAAGGGTTCCCATTACCCCCTCAGGTTCAGCAGTTGATTAGAATGACTCACTGAACTCGGTAGAATTCGTTATTTAAACAGTCACAGTTTGGGAGCCAGGGTTAGAGGGTAGGGTGCCTGCCTTACATTCGGCTGACCTGAGTTATCTGATCCCTGGCTTCCCATGAGGATCTTGAGCCTACCAGGTGTGATCCTTGAGGGCTGATGCAGGGATAAGCCCTGAGGACAGCCAAGTGTGGCCCAAAAACAAACCAAAAATTTACATTATTTTAAAGGATGCAGATTGTCAGATGAAATGACATAAATATCTTAAGAATATGTAGGCACCAACTAACGTAGCCACAGGGAACTAAAAGGCAGGTTTGGTACAGGATTGGTTGGTTCACACCAAATCCAAAAACGTGAAAGATGATCCCACCCAAGGGAAAGGAAAGAAAAGGAGAGACCGGCCTTAGGAGTAGCGTTAGTCATCCTGGATATTTAGGAGTCCCAGCAAACCACAGTGGGAATTGGGGGCTGAATGTATGGCACTGGGCTAATGAATCAGGTTCTTCAGTGTTTTATTTATTTTGTTTTCCCCCTGGGGTGCCTGGGATTGAACCCAGTTGGCCACATGTTAAGACAAGCACTTTACCTGCTGTCCTGTCTCTTTGGCCTGATACGCATCAGTTTGTAAAAAAATAATTATTTTGCTTGTTTGCAAAGTTTTTAGTTTTGATTTTGGGCAACACCCAGCAGTGCTGAGGGCTTACTCAGATCACTCCTGGTTAGACGAGGGGACCAGTAATGGTGTGCTAGGGATCTAATCCAGGTCAGCCACATGCAAGTCAAGAGCCATACCTATACTGTTATCTTTACAACCCCGAGAAAACAATACGTGACTATATTATTGCCTTTCATTGTTTACCTCTAGATTAAAATAGAACTTGTAACTGTGAATTAAAATATCAAAATAATCTCTCTGTGTTTCACATTTGACATTAAAATTTCAAGTTCACATTTTAAAAGAATGATTAAGTGTTTTCATATTTCAAAAATATGTATTCCAGGGCCAGGAATACACATTTTATGACCCAGTGTAAGTGTGTCTCTTGCATGCAAGATCTAATCTAGGTTAGATCCCTGTCGCCGCAAAAAAATTAAAACAATAGTAAAATATGTATTTTGTGTGATGTATATTAAAACAAAATCTGAGCAGGCAAGAGAGATTTCATTTTAATTGAAATTGAAAAGTCCTACCAGACAGTGGGTAGAGTATTGGCCTTGCATGTGACCAACCCAGTTTCGGTTCCTGACGTCCCGGATGGTCACCTGAGCCCAGAGCCATGCTGATCCCTGAGATCAGACCCTCCTGTAGTTAGCCCTGAGCATGGCTGGGTGTGACCCTCAAACGACCCTCCCTCCCCCACCCTCCCAAGGAAGTGAAGTCTGATTTTGTCTTTGTAAAAGAAAATTGAGGGAAAATATTTTATTTACAATTTATGTTTTGCCACATTTATGCTGCCTAGGACTTAATTTTCTTTTGGACATAAATGTGTTTTTATTATTTTTATCTTCTAATAAATTTTCTTTTAATTTTTTTTCTTTTTTCGTGGTTTTGATTTTAGGAAATAGAAAGGCTTATTGGAAAGTAGAAGGGGAAGGAAAAGGAACTCCTCAGCCAAGGAAGAACTTAGTATAGGACTCAGTTCTGTCTTCTTAAATCGAAGTCTTAAATTTTTGGTGCAGTGTGCTAGTATTAAACAAATTCTATAAATCTAATTTCTTCCACTAGAGGGCCCTCTTAGAGAAGATTTTTCTTGTTAAAGGTTAAGGTATTTCTGTATACCTTTCATGACCATTGAACTGTCTAAAAAATGAATTTTATACTAAAGATAATATTTTTTTCAGAATATATTTAATATTTCCTGATGTTTTATTTATACACCTGTAAAGGTGATTATAGACTGCCCCAAAAGCCTCCATCCATCTCGGAGACCCCGGCAAGCTGCTACCGAGAGTATCCCGCCCACACGGCAGAGCCTGGCAAGCTCCCCGTGCCGTACTTGATATGTCAAAAACAGTAATAATGAGTGGTCCTCATTCCCCTGACCCTGAAGGAGCCCCCATTATGTCATCGGGCTACACTTGCACTTGACAGGGACGAATGGTGATGTTGCCGGGCCCGCTCGAGTGAATTGAAGAACAACAGGGTGATAGAGATAGTGATGTATTTATGGGGTCATTGTGTAAATTTCCCATTTTCTCAAAAGTTACGCCTCAGAGAAAGGAAATAATTTCAATATTTTCAATATTCTGGTTTTTGGTGGGTATTTTGGGCACACTCAGTGATACTCAGGGTTTACTCCTGACTCTGTGCTTGGAGTTCACTCCTGGAGAACTCTGGGGCCATATGGGGTGCTGGGGCTTGAACCCAGAGTGACCATTTCTGAGCAAGCACCTCACCTGCTGTCCTATGGCTCCAGCCCCAGTACTCTTTCTACTGTATTGTTGTTCCTGACACCACAGCTTGCGGTGTGTGGAGCTGCTTCTGGCAGTGTTTGGGAATCTGCTGGTGCCAGAGTCGAGGAGACTGAGCCTCCTGCGGCCAGTGCTTCCCCCTGGCCCTTTGAACTGTCCTTCTGGTCCTTTATTAACTGTTAAACGCTAGACTTGAAACAGAAATATACATAAAGCTTTTTTCATCTGTTGGATTTTACATTGCATTAAATTCAAGCAACTTGATGTTCTTTCCCTTTCACACTTCCTCAAAAGAAAAAATATAGACAAGAATGGTTAAGTTGAGGAAGGGGGAAAGTGCCAATTGAAAAGTTGTATCCACCGATGTGTATGTATAGAGAGAACATTTTCTCTGATATCCTGTCTGTCTGTCGCTTATTTTTTTAAGTATGATGGGCTCTAAAGAGGAGAGATGAAGAGGTTTTTTTTTTTTTAATAACATTTTGTTTCTTTCAGGGAGAGGGATAAAGGTAAAGGCCCAGTAATACCGAGAATTCAATGAAGAAAACCATAGTGCTGAGTAATTAATACAAAAGCCTCGCTTGTGGTTTTCTCTATAGTTCAGTGTTTATATCCCTTTATTTTGCCTGTTGTTTTCACTCAACTTCCTTTGCCCTCCAACTTCAGTGTGAAAAAATTATCTGAGCGGGATCAGAGGTTTGTAGTACAGGGGTTTAGCGCATCTCTTGCATGCGGCCCACCCGCTTCAATCCCTGGCACCACGTGCACCCACAAGCATTGCCAAGTGCAGCCCTGAAGGGCCTCGGCTGCCAGGTCGGCTGAGAATTGCTAGACGGAGTCCCAGGCACCTATTTGGGTGACCTTTCTACCTCTAAAAAGCCACCTAAGAACCTTGTGAATACAAAGTCGGGGCTTTTATTGTTTGCAGGAGAGAGAGGTTGGGAGGCAGGTAACTTTAATTGGATAGATCTGGTCTGCAGCTGGGGCTTCAGTACTCTTGAGTCTTTACCCAACTCCCTCCCAGGTACTATTGGCAGCCCAACGTTTGAGGTTCGGTAGAAAGAGCAAGTTAGAATTTTTTTCTTTCTTTTTGGGTCACACCTGGCGATGCACAGGGGTTACTCCTGGCTCTGCACTCAGGAGTTACTCCTGGCGGTGCTCAGGGGACCATATGGGATGCTGGGAATCGAACTCAGGTTGGCTGCGTGCAAGGCAAACGCCCAACCCGCTGTGCTATCTCTCCAGCCCCAAGTTAGAATTTTTTAAAGATCCTGCTCACCAGTTCTATAACCTTGAACATGCTTCTTTGTATGTGCAAGCTACATCTAGAACAGGCAATCTTTTTAAAGCTCATAATGAGGACTAGTCGGCTTGTACGATGATGGTTATAATACTGTTTGACCCGTACAAGGCATGCCATGGTACCTTCCTCATTATACCTGAAACGCCCACAGTTAGCTCTTGCCCGTTGTGCACTTCAATCCTTTATGTTCTTTTTCTCTAACCAGGTTAGATTTTTAGTTTCCTGAATAAGCAGACCTTTGAGGTTCCATGTCTTTGCATTTGCTGTCATCTATCCTGGGAATGCCTTCAGCTGTTGTAACTTCTAGTCCTTAAAAAATGTTGACTTGTTGGGTGTATACTGGGGTTGTTGGGGGTGGAGAATGGGCACTGGTGAAGGTATGGGTGTTTCATTGTATGACCAAGACTTAAACCCGAAAGCTTTGTAACTGCTCTCATGGTGATTCAATAAATAAAATTACAAAGAATGAAAAAACAAGAGTAAGGTGGAGTTCATGCCCAATTCAGTCAGCTAATCAGTGGCTGAATAAATAACAGTACTCCTGCGTTGAGAAAAAATGTTGACTTGTCGAAGCATCCAGGACCAGTCTGAGCTGCTGGCATCCCCAGGCCCTCTCACACTCCTGTTCTTTGCTTTACTCCTTTCCGTCCACTCCCATTGAGAACACTGCTGGAACGAAAGGAGTGTGAGTTCTCTCGGTAGGCATGGATGTGAATCTTGATAGTCTCCAACTGCGCATGCCACTGAGCTTATGAGGTTTCCATATGCCAAGTGGAGATATCCACTCTACAGTGTTACTGTGAGAAAACAAGGAATGATGGACCTAACACAAGCTTTCAGAAAATATTGGCTCTTTCCTTTATAATGGTTTTAGTTCTTTTTCCGTTAGACTCACTCATAACAAATGTGTAATAAAATCAGTCAGCAGTTCTCAGTAATGATTTGAGGAAGGAATGAACCCATGAGTAAATGATCACTATGTCAAAAGAACTTAGAAAACCATCACAATTAAGAAGTTCCACCTACATTTGAGCGCTGAATTTTCTGATGGAATGTGCATTTTAGAAATTTTACTGGAGTGGAATTCTGTAAAGCTAAGTTCAGCTGCTTCATATAAGTACCATTTAATTTAAATTTCAGAGCTCACGCTTTAGGGAAATGTTATGTCATTTATGTGGTAATACATTTTAAGGGGTGGGCTCAAACTTAAACCTTTATAATAGAAACAGTCTTGATTTGAGATAGTTTTCAGATGAATTGCTTACCATAAACAACAATTTAATAATACAGTGTGCTAGTTTAATAAAAGCCCTCTGATATCATTATAGCATACCAATAAAATACTCTTTCTTTTCATAGCAACATTTCATTGAATTGGATGAAAATAGACTAACATTATTACAGAAATGCAAGGAACTTATGAAGAGAGCTAGGCAAGTATGTAACCTGAGTGCAGAACAGACTGTTCCTCAAGAATATCAGACAGTAAGTATAAAAAATAAATAATGCTAAGTGTTCATATTTTTAAGCCAGACGTTCATTATAACATACCAAGAAAATATGCCCCACAAAAGCTTTTTTCCCCTCCATTTTGAAGCTGAGTTTGTATGTCAAGTAATTTGGCATCACAGATTTTTATACAGTGTTCAAACTAAGGCAGAAAGTCTTATTAATACTAAAATTATTAAGACATAGGTATCACCTTGCAAAATTATTGGTACCATAAGTAATTCAGTCATGCAAAAAAAATAGTTTTTCTCCCATGCTACCATTAAGAAGTAGAGTTGGGAGATGGGGTATGGTTTTTCATGAAAACAAAGTAACAATAAATAAAAAAATAAATAGAAAAGAAAACAAAGTAACAGGAATTGATAGACAAGAAGCAGTAAATAGAGGTGATATCCAAGAAAACAAAAGGCAGGCATTAAAAATATTTTCTTGGAAATTGCTACTTTTGGTTCCTTGGAAGTTGAATTTTTGGGGCAATACTGTTTGTAAGGGAAAAAAAAAAAAAGAGTTCTTTCCATTATAGTTCCAGTGCTGACGTATCACTGAGTTAGTAAAATGAGGAGATGCTGGCTTTCAGTCCAAGTTCCACTATGAATTATGTAGTCCCATGACCCTAACCTTCATCTCACAATTGGGGATAATTACCTTCTTTGGTGCCTATTCTTCAGAACACAGTGTAAAATTCAACATTCTAACATTAAATTTCAGACAAAAATTGAATAATGTATTTTTAAGTATCTGCTATTTGTATGGTTTGATGCTTAATTTCAAATTTGCCTATTTCAATAATGAAATAATTTACCCAAAGTACAAACAGGACTAAAAAACCTAATTTGGATTATAACTTTCAAATCTTCAGAGAGCTTACTCCATTTCAGACATAGAAACCCTAGGTAATGTGTTTAATTCTTAAGGTACATAGTCAGAATTAACTAGACAGGGAGCAACTGTTTCTAAGACTATTAGGACATTTGATTTTTTCTTTCAGAAAGTACTATAATTCTGTTCTTGATAAGAAAGTAATGAAAGATAATTTGTATATTGAATCATAATATGTTAGCTGCTGTGTATTAACCATTGACAAGCTGAATATACTTCAGTACTGAAATCTATAATATGAAAGGTGGGACAGACTAAAAACAAACTGAAGCCAATAACTAATGTCACTTAGCAAGAGGTACCAAGAAGAAAATTAAAGCGAGAGGATAGAATGGCAGAAATGGGAAGCTGATCAGAAAGGCTTCGGTGAGAAATTACTGTTTTAGATGAGATGTGAATATAATCCTAGCAGAAATCAGGTCGTGTGACATCTTACAGACCATAAAAGAAATTTGGGTTATATTCTGAAATGCTGTGCAGGCGAGATACTCTCAGTAGCTTGCCAGGCTCTCCAAGAGGGGCAGAAGAATCGAACTCCCGTGACGTATTCGATATGCCAAACACAGTAACAACAAGTCTCATGATGGAGACGTTACTGGGCCCGCTCGAGCAAATCGATTCTGAAATGCAGTCCTCAGGAGGATTTTAAACAGAAGACTGATGTTTCTAACTTCACAGTAAGAAGAACACTTAACTGCTGTGTGGAATATAAGCAAGGGTACAAGAATAAAAACATGGAAGCCATTCAGATGATCATTGCTTTGGCCAGGCAAGAGATTGTCGTGGCATGGATTAGGGGGGGAGGCTTGACAGAGAAGTTTACAAATTTGAGGTTTCTTCCTTTCAAGTTTATCAGCAGAACTTTCTAATAGACTTGAAGGGAAGAGTAAGAGAAAAATCCCAAATTTTACCATTTACTAAAATGAATTGAAGGAGAAACAAGTATGCACAAAAGAAAGGAAAAGATGGGCAAAACAATGATTTCTGTTTCACCGTGTTAGTTAAAGATGCCCAGTAGGGAATCAAGCACTAACAGGCAAGTATTGGGTAGAGGAGTTCTGAGAGTGTCAGTAAGATCTGTAGACTGTATCAGAAGTTCCGGAGGACTGAAAACTTAAAATACTAACACACTGTGTCAGGGTTTCAGTATTCATTTTGTACATCGCAATATGTGAACTTTGTACCTCATAAAGCAAAATGATGAACTGATCGCCTTTCTGCAGAGAATGGTATTGTTAGAAGATAGTATAATTTTCCCCAAAAAATGTACAAAGTAATGGGAATCGTAGGATGGTTTTGTAGTTCTTCTTGAGTACAGTATAAAGTTCTAACTTCTTGCTCTCTTTCAATGCCCCACATATTCTGGACCCATTCTACCAATTCAGCAAGTACCCACCATCCTAAATGGACACAGCTCCACACTCCCCATGGTATGCAGTGCTCATTCTTTATCTGAGCTCCTCTCTCCCTCCTGCCTTGCTTTTCCCTAGACATTCGCTTTTAAGCCCTGGAGATGAATTCTGGTCCTCTCTTCTCTCTTGTAGATCCTGTAGCATGAACTGGTACTCTTTCGCTAAAATCCATAATCTATGTGAAATGGGCTGCTAATTTAATACTGAACATCAATAAGAATTTGATTCCTTGCGTGCTAGCATGCTGTTGAACACATAGTAGATACTTAGCAAATTAATTCTCCTTTTAACTGTTCGAATGAAACTACTTTACTGTAAGATCTCTAATGATGGACAATTTCTTTTTTTTCTATTTTAGGCTTTCCAGGATCTTCCAAACACATTGGACGAAATCGATGCTTTATTAACCGAAGAAAGATCAAGAGCTTCTTGCTTCACCGGGCTGAACCCTACAGTATGCTTTTTTCCCTGTTGCCTGCCGCATGCATGCCACCCTCCACATACGCGCGCGCACACATGCACACACAGTTCCCTCCAGTTCTTGCCTCCCACTCTGTACTAGCGCTCTTGGTAATAATAAGCTAGACAGCAGGAACAATGTGCTTTAAATGCCAGATTCTGAATCTATTAGAATTTTAAATAGATTCTTCCTAAGGAACACAGTGTTCTGTGCCTTGTCTTTATAAAAAGAATAGTTGGGCTAACCTGAAATACTGCAGTGTCTATTTTTTTCAAGGATAAAAAAAAAATTGCAGATTCCGTATGAGAACATAATTAATTGTATACAAATAATGCAGCTCAGTTGGCCGTTCTCGGTGTTTTTAATTCATACAAAATCTCCCATAATTTTAAGCTTTGGTAGATTTGTCATAGATGTGTTTTTCCCTGCCAGGTTGTTGAGGAATATACAAAAAGAGAAGAAGAAATAGAGCAGTTAACTGAGGAACTAAAGATAAAGAAGGTTGAACTGGATCAATACAGGGAGAACATTTCACAGGTAACTGTTTAATTCTTTCATTTTGTTTTTGTCGTGTGCTTTCAATTAATCTTGGGAAAGTCACATAATGCAAAATGAAATATATGTCTGGAAATGCAACATTTATTTATGGCCACATTGGTGACCGCTATTGAAGTTTACTTCATGTCCAGTTTCATATCGGAATGCAGTAGCTCTTCTTTCTCAATATTTTTTCCTAATGCCTTTATTTTCAGGTAAAAGAAAGATGGCTTAATCCTCTGAAAGAGCTGGTAGAAAAAATTAATGAAAAATTCAGCTATTTTTTCAGTTCCATGCAGTGTGCTGGTGAAGTTGATCTCCATACAGAAAATGAGGTAAAATTGCATTTGAAATGCTTCCTGGCAAGTAGTCATAATTTTGTGCTTAGAGGACATGCAAATTTTTATTTACGCTAAAGTTTTCCCTATGAAAATCTCACTTACTAAAATTATCCAAAAGGAAAAGACCACTTTATGAGATTTCATCAGCTTGACTTTTTTTGGTAACATTTGAAATGAGGGACTAATACACCCTACTAGCTCTTTTTATATCTAGCCTGGAAAATGGTCATTTCCAGCTATCATGAGAAAATTCTTTTGCTTTTTTAACTCTACCACTATCCTCGGAAGGTAGTTATAAACAAGGTAACCTGTCTAGCATAATATCAGCGATTTCATTTTGATCAAGAATTTAAGGAAAAGAAGTATTTGAAAGCTTAAAAGAATGGAGATACTTTGAAATTTTCTACTAATTTCTTGCTTTATAAATTCATGCATCACTGTTCTGAGTAAAAATTAAAAAAAAAAATCATAGCACCCCAGGTCCCTCCATCCCATACCTCTCTCTCTGCCAAAAAGAAAGCCAGAGCAGTGGTGCCAGGAGTAATTCCTGAGTGCAGAACCAGGAGTAACCCCTGAACACTGCTGGGTGGGGCCCAAAAACAAAAATTTGAAAAGTCAGGGATAAGACTCTAATGGTAGAGGGCCCAGGGCAATAATAGCACAGAGGGTAGAACATTTGCCTTGCATGTGGCGAACCCAGGTTTGATCCCCAGCATCCAATATGCACCCCCCTTCCATGTACCACCAGGAGTAATTCCAGAGTGCAGAGTCAGGAGTAACCCCTGAGTGTCTTTGAGTGTGACCCAAAAAGTCAAAATTTAAAGGGGGGAAAAAAGGGGGGAGAAAAAAACCCTTAGCGGTGGAATATGTGTGTCTCGGGTGGCGTGTGATCACTGGCGTCATAACACATGCAAGCTAAAGGATAAACTGGGCTGGGCTTCGGACTAAGTGGGAAGGTGAGAAGGAGGGGTTTCAGATGAGATAATATTGGTCAGATACTAATCACAGTTGAGGCTAGTTGATGATCGAGAGATTGGGCTTATTTTGGTGTTCTGATTGTGTATTTGTCAGATTTTCTCATACTGTCGGTTTTTGTTTGGGGGCTACACGTGTCAGTGCTCCAGGCTTACTGCTGGCTCTGTACTCGGGAATTACTCCTGGCGGGGTTCTGGGGACCATATGGGGTACCAGGGATGGAACCAGCTTGGCCATATGCGAGGCAAGTGCCCTACCCGCTGTGCTGTCACTCAGGCCCCACCATAGTCTTTTCTCAAGAAAGAAAAACGTGTCTCTCAGACATGGATGCGATGTTGCTTACACATTATGTAACATCTACAAAGTACAGCAGGTAGGGCGTTTGTCCTGCACACGGTGGACCTGGATTTGATCCTCAGCGTCCCATGTGGTCCCCTGAGCACCACCAGGAGTCATTCCTGAGTGCAGGGTAAGGAGTACCCCCTATGCATTGTCGAGAGTGACCTAAAAAGCCAAAATATTAAAAAAAAAAAAACTTGCTAGATTACCACTTCCTCTTCTTAGAACTTTGTCCCATAACTCCTTCATCTGCTTAGTGCGAGTCATGAGGACAGCAAGTGCCATTTCACTTTTAAGTTTGACGAAGATATTAGCCCTCCCACCCCACCCCACCCCACAGTAATTGTGGTGTACATTGCCTTTGAGCTCACTAGAATGAACAGTAATAATTTACAGTATAATCCCTATAGTCAAGCAGTGTGCCAGGCGCTTTGAACTTTTCACCTTTTTTTCATACTCATGGTCATTCTATTCTAAAATGAAGGTCCTTGAATCAGCTGCGTTTTACAAATACACAGAAATCTAAGGGAACTTTATACTTTACGAAGGCCACGTAGCTACCTGGTGAGAAAGAATCAAACAAAAACCGAAGTTCTTAAATACCATCTCCTCGGTGGAAGTAGCATAGATCCTGTGGAATAAACTAAGCGTTTCATAAAATTCAAAGTAACTGTTTATCAAACAGCTTGACTAACATGAATGTGATCGAGTAAGCATCTGGAAACACCATTCTTTGGTATAGGTCCTGTTACATAGTGCTGTAACTTTGCCACATGTCGTTTCTTCTGCATAGTATTTCTGTTTTAAATAATAACTTCACATCCTTAACAGTACTTTTTGTTTAATCTTTTTTTTTTTACAAAGCTGTTCGGGATGGATTTCAGTCATACAGTATTCCAACACCCATCCCTCCGCCACATTTCCCAACACCCAGCGTCCCCAGATTCCCTCCTGTTGTCCCCCACACACCACCCCCTAAAGGCACTTTTCTTCTCTCTCCTTTTGGGCACTGTGGTTTGCAGTATTGATAGAGAGGTTCTCCAGAATGTCCCTTACGACTTTTTACCTCAGCTTGTGTCCAGAGTTAGCTTCCCCAGATATTATTGTCGTAGCAGTCTCTCCTCTCTCTTACCTACCCTCAGCCCCCCCGTCCCCCACTTATGGTTAGTTCCAACCATTGACCAGTCTTCTCACCCCCGTTTTCCCTGGCCATGGATATTATTCTTCTACTACATATATTTTTTATATGCCACAAATGGATGTAGTCATTCTGTATCTGTCCCACTCCTTCTGACTCATTTCTCTCAGCATGATACTCTCCGTGTCCATCCGTTTATAGGCAAATTTCAAGACTTCATTTTTCCTGACAGCTGCGTAGTATTCCATTGTGTAGATGTGCCAGAGTTTCTTTATCCATTCGTCTGTTCTCGGGCACTCGGGTTGTTTCCAGATTCTGGCTCTTGTGAGTAGTGCTGCAATGAACACAGGAGTGCAGGTGGTGTTTCTGCTGTGTGTTTTCGGGCCCCCAGGGCAGAAGTGGTATTGCTGGGTCAAATGGGAGCTCAATTTCTAGTACTTCTTACTGACTTTTTCTGTTCAGTCAGCCATGCCCCCCCCCCCCCCCTTGCAAAATTGACATTCTTATCTCCTCTTGGCCCATTTTTTGGAATGGTTCTATTCTGAACTTCTCAGTCCTAGTTCTAGAACTGACCTCTTTAGCCAGAGCCTTCAGTGAGATAAAGCTAAAATGGCTGGGGGACCGGGGGGGCTAGAGAGATGGAACAGCAGGTAGGCCACTTGCCTTGTACGTGGCTGACCCAGTTTCAATCCTCAGCACCCCATATTTTCCCAAACACCACTTGGAGTGTTCCCTGAACACAGAGCCAGGAGTGAACCCTGAGTTCCTCTGGGTATGGTCCCAAAACAGCACCCCACGCCCCCCCAAAAAAAATTGGTGAGCATCCATTATGTGCTAAGTTTTTTGTTAATTATGTCTGATTTAATACAAATATTTTCAAAGTATATCTTTAGTATCTACATACTTTTCTGAACCAAAGAAGTAGGGGGAAGTCTTGACTCTCTGCTGTGATAAACACAGTTACCTCTCTGAGCATCACACGTTCCATTGTCTTTTCATTATTGAAGCCTAAGCTTTAATATTAGCAGATGATTAACTAGAATCAATAATGACTTTCCATGAGCGGACGTTTCACTAATGTTGAATAGCCTATGGTATGAAATAAGGGAAAAAAAGTTATTCTTAATTTGAATATTTTCCTTATCAAAATGTGTCTGAGGAGACCTCCAGAGCATATAGATAGCAACTAAGACTAAAAGTGGGGGAAAAAAATACATATCACTAAATTTTAAGTTCTTATAATTCATTTATTTGCTCTGTTTTCAAATAACAACGAAAAATTACTGGAAGAAAGAAAGAGATACAGAATGATCTCTTGTATAGGATTTAAAGATCACAGTAAGATAGCCGTAAAGGGCTGAAGGAAACAGAACTGGAGATTTGGTTCATAGGAGGTTTGGGGAGAGGAGGCTTGAAAGGGAGGGGCCTTTGGGACAATGATACAGGGAAACAGGTACCCTGGTGCTGGGTATGGTGCTGGAATTATGTACACATGAAACCTTCATTAATAGTATTATAAAACATGATCTCAGAGATTTTATTTATTTTTGCTTTTTGGGTCACATTCGGAGATGCTCAGGGGTTTACTCCTGGCTCTGCACTCAGGAATTATTCCTGGCGGTGCTCAGGAGGCCATATGGGACGCCGGGGATCAAACCCTGGTCGGCCGCGTGCAAGGCAAAACACCCTACCTTCTTTACTATCGCTCCGGCCCCTATCTCGGAGATTTTAAAAATTTAACACATTTTCAGTGTCAGAAATTCCTAAAAAATAAAATGGTTATTTAAAATGTTAGGTGAAAATAATTACTGGAGGCAACTCATCTTCGATCTTTTTAATGTTTTATAGGAAGACTACGATAAATATGGAATTCGAATTAGAGTCAAATTCCGCAGTAGTACTCAACTGCATGAATTAACTCCTCATCATCAAAGTGGAGGTGAAAGAAGTGTTTCCACCATGTTGTATCTGATGGCACTTCAGGAACTTAACAGATGTCCGTTCAGAGTAGTTGATGAAATCAACCAGGTAGAGTGTATTTGTTCCTTTACCTGGCTTTTATTGTCTCCGATAAATGCCAAGATTTAAATTGTAATCATTGTTGTTGTTCAGGGAATGGACCCAATCAATGAACGAAGAGTGTTTGAAATGGTTGTAAATACCGCTTGTAAAGAAAACACATCTCAGTACTTCTTTATTACACCAAAGGTAGGTAGTAACCTGATATTGCTCATATACTGAAGAAATCTGTGGCTCAATCATGTAGCAGATTTTGATCCAATATGCAGATGGAGGCAGAACCCTTCTCCAAATAGGAACGAAAAGGATAAGAGTAATAAATACTAATGGAAGAGGAAAGTTTCGATAATACGTTTAATGAGAAGCCTCGTTATCAGAGGGAAAAGTGCAGGAGGCTTGGCTTTATGTGCTAGAACTAGGACTTGCTCTGTAGTTGGCATTTCTTCTAGAGAAATTCCTTTATTTGCAGTAAAAGATTTTAGAAAAATGCACACTTTACAGCTTTCGCCCTCTTCTTTTATCTACAAACATCTTGCCTGTGCCTGGATGTACACCTTTTTTTATTCGCCACTGCTTTTTTTTACAAGGGAATTCATAAATATCCCTGTATCTTCTGTTCATAAATCCACTTTGATTAAAAACAGAACTGTCTTTTTGACAACAGAATTAAAAGTTAAAATTATTGCAATGGAAAATTTTGAGATTTGAACTGTGAATAGACGCACTTAAAGACTTATGAATAGAAACAATTTGTCCCCTTTATCTAAATATTTATGGAAAAGAATTGAAGAACCTATCATAAATTCATATTTTTATTCAATAGTATAATTATCTTTTTTTTTCCAGCAGATACTGTATGGAATAGTCAGATCTGTTTATATCTTATTGTTTATACAAAAACTTTCACCTGTAAGCCAAACCTCCTTTTGCACTTTTGAAGCTCCCAGAGTTTGACCATAGAAGTTGCTGGAGAAGTGTTGGTGGAGAGAGATGAGTTAAAGTGTTTACCTAGGAAGTTGTTTACCTAGGAAGTTAGGTGTCTGATCTGTTCAGCCAGGGAATTTTGGCACTAATAATTCCTAAGATATGTAGACGTAAGACTTTCCTTAGACCAAGCTTCAGGTGAACTAATACAAGGAATATCACAGTATTTCAGGAGACAGGGTTGTTGAGAGCTTCGTAAGAATTTCATTAGTATTGTAAATCAAATATTTGACCATTTGTATGTGAGAAAATTTAGTTTCTCGGTGTACAGCAGTCCCGCACCCATGCAGAAGTATAGGGAATACATTCCAGGACACCCTCTAGTAGTTTCCTGAACCTGGAAATTGTATATAAAGGCTTCTGTTATCTGTGTGTGTGTGTGTGTGTGTGTGTGTGTGTGTGTGTGTGTTTGCGTAGTTTAATTGGCAAATGAAGCACAGTGAGATTCTATCTAATAAAATAGAACAGGCATTACTAATAGAAATCCCCTCTCAAAATATCACGCTATGTAATACTGTAGACCACAGAAACTACAAAAAAAAACCTCATCGAAACAGGGACTGTGCGTGACAGTTTGTCTGTTTTAACATTTTCAGCTCCTGCAAAATCTTCCTTATACTGACAAAATGACAGTGTTGTTTGTCTACAATGGTCCTCATATGCTGGAACCAAACAGATGGAATTTAAAGGCTTTCCAAAGGCGGCGGCGCCGTATCACGTTCACTCAGCCTTCTTAATAAAAAGACAGGGTGAGGACTTTGGGATTTTCTGTTATATCCTATTAAAAGTATGGCTCAACTGAATAAATGGCAATTCATTCAGAGTAAAAGATCGGTTATTTTTGGAAACCTGCTATTAAATCCATAATAACTTCGTACTGCAGAGCATCACCTGGTAGTAAAAATTAATTTTTCTTTTGTCTTCGTTGAACTTGAGCCCTTGGCATCCTGGCCCTCAGTCATTGCACAGAAAAAGAGTATTTGCCATTTCAAATCACAGGTACAGTCGAAAAGGGTTATCAATCACCAGTTGATAGGATGACTCTTTAGCTTTAATTGCCATGAAACTTAATTATACTTTTAGAGTCTCGAAATGACTCTGCATATGAAAAGTTATAGTTTTATCCTAGTGTCATATTTAAGAATTGATATGGACGTGTGTGATCTAATGTATAAAATAATTTTACAGATCTGTTAAATTTTTTCCTATTAAAAAAGATGACTGTGTATCTCCAGTAGGAAATGGGATTTTATGGACCGTTTAAAAACTTCGTTGGAACTTGATGCTATCATCGTGTATTAGTGTCTCAGAGGGGAAGAAAATGGACTGGGGTTCAAAAATGATAGCAGAACTTTGATATGCCACAAGGTGGCCACTAGATGATGCAAAATACAACCAAAAGATTGACAAAATAAAATCAAGTGCAAAGGGTTTTTTAAGAATAACCCTGTAAAGTGTGTGGGTTTGTTTGTTTTTTTTATTTGAAGTTGATTGTATTTTACATCTTAAATTTCTAAAAGCATTTTTATAATTATTTTTAGTAAGGTTTTTTCTTAAGATTTCATATACTGATTTTTACAATTTATATTTGAAATTTCTCAGTATTGTGTAAAGACTAAGGGAAAGCAGTGATTTGTTTCAAACCATAATGTTTCTAGAACTTGAGCTTATTGGTCATTTCTTAAAGTGTTGATCCTGCCCCCATTATTTTAGAAAATCTAGTTTTAAACTCTACTTTCCACGTGAAGGAATTGCGGGGGGTGGGGAAATCATTTATTTCTGGATTACACTAATTAACAGTGCCGAGCGAATTCTATTCTTTTAAAAACAAATGTTGGAAGAAACGGACTAGTTCGAAGATGTGGTGTTAGAACCATGAGTTAGATCTGAACTGGTAATGACATAATTATTTTTTTTTTGACTTGGTAGCTGTATAAACTGATGAATGACTTTATTTGGGTTTTTCTATATTCTTAAATATTCACTGGAATTTATATTCTTATCAAAAAGTGATGAACCATACATTCTGTCCTCTCTCTGGCAGTCTCTTTGAAAAGGTATTTTTTCTTTATAAAAATTTTTAAAGAAAAAGCTGTCTCTTAAAGCTAATGCATGTACTATTAAAATATTTTTTTAAAACATTTTTGCTAGTGTGAGCAATTCATGTAAACATTGAAAAGTTTGGTAAGATATTGGTAAATCAACATTACCAAATGTTTTTGTCTTATTTTCCACCAAAATATTATTATGATACATGCTTATGGTGTCTTTCATTTATTGTCTAAGTTTGTGCTGGTCATTTATTCCTAAAAAATCAGTAACAGTATAATAAAGAAGCTTAAAAATTAGACCTGTGTTTAAAAGTAAAATCGACAAGTCAGTTTATGTATGCCAACAACTATTCCATGCCTTGTTTGTATGCATTTATGTTTCTCTAATGGACAAAGTTATATTTGATTTTTGAGCTGTGAAGACAAATTATGTATCATTTAAGCACATTATTAAAAGAATAACCTCAGTACATTAAAGCCTCAGCCACTTAACGCTTTCATATATCTTCTATAAAAGCTGATTTCTTATTACATAGAAATTATAAAAACTTGAAATAAAAGTCTGATTTGATTAATAAAATATTTAAAACCCTAATGTAACAAGCAGATATTTCTAATGACCAAATATTTCTTGATTTGACAAATCTCTATTAAGAGATTTTTAGCATTCAGAGTAAAAAGGGAAAGATTTCTTGCAACTTTCAAATTGTCTTTTGACTTGTGTGCTTATTTTCTTTGTAGTATGAGTCTTTACTGTGTGAAAAATGTAATTTTGTCCAATTGTGTGATCATCTGTGAAAGTTAAAAAAAAAGCTATTTGTGGGAAATGCTACTTTGTTGGTAATAAATGCATATTTTCATATCCTTTTGGTGTATCTTGTTTTAAAGGAGAGCTGTTTTTATGTTTTAAACCTTAAAAATCTTGAGGGGGGAGGCTGGAGCAGTAGCACAGTGGGTGGGGCGTTTGCCTCGCAAGCAGCCAACCCGGGTTCAATTCCCAGCATCCCATATGTTCCCCTGAGCACCGCCAGGAGTAATTCCTGCGTGCAGAGCCAGGAGTAACCCCTGTGCATCACCAGGTGTGACCCAGAAAAAACAAACGAAAAAATATTGTTGGGGGCCACAGCAATAGACCAGTTAGGACATTTGCCCGAAATGATCCCTGACACTTCACATCATCCCCTGAACCACCATCTGTGCCCACCCGCACTCCCCCTCCACATGCCACCCCCTAGATAATAAAAGAATCTTTTTGGTTTTTCAGTTTACTGCAATATATGTCTATTGAGTGCCTTTTTTTTTTTTATTAGTGAAACACCATGAGGTACAGTTGTAGATTTACAATTTTTTGTGCTTGGGTTTCAATTATACAATGATCAGATACCCATCCCTCCACCAGTGCCCATTTTCCACCACCATGGATAATATCCCCCCCACCCCCATCCCCCCCATCCCACCCTGCCTCTGTGGCAGGGCAATCCCCTGTGTTCTCTCTCTCCTTTTGGGTGTTGTGGTCTGCAAAAGAGGCATTGAGTGGCAAACATGTTCAGTCCATAGTCTACTTCCGACATGCATGAATGCCTTTTTTTTTTTAACAGTTGTACTTTACAAGTGTTTCCTCTTATTTTTTCCTCCAGAGTAATTTAGTTCTCATTTTAGGGAACCCCCCCCCAAAAAAAAAAGAAGTAATGGGGGCTGGAGAGAAAGTGAAGTGACTAAGGTGTTTACCTTGCATGCAGTCAATTCAGGGTCAGTCCCTGGCTCCCGAGCACTGCCAGGAGTGATCCAGGAGCGTAGAACCACGAAAAAGCCCTGAGCATAGCTTGTGGCTCAATCCTCCATTTCAAGAAAAGTAATTCTAATGTTACAGTGTCAGTTGGACCATAAATGTAGTAGAAGCCTGTTGGCTTTGAGTGAGACTTGGGGAACTATAGATCTATTTTCATTCTTGAATACTCACGGAACTTCCCTTATGTAATACTCATCATGTGTTGCATTACCTTTTAGTTCAAGGATGTTTTTAGAATACTTAAAATTTGCATTTTAGGGGCTGGAGCAATAGCACAGCAGGTAGGGTGTTTGCCTTGCACGCAGCAGACCTGGGTTCAGTTCCCAGCATCCCATATGGTCCCCCTGAGCACCACCAGGTGTAATTCCTGACTGTAGAGCCAGAAGTAACCCCTGTGCATCACCAGGTGTGACCCCCCCCCAAAAAAAAAAATTGTATTTTAGGAGACTGCTCCATTGACAACTTGTGTTTTTTTTTTTTTTTTAGTTCCAGTGGCAAAGTTAAAGCATTGGGGACTTAATTATTTTGGTTTGGGGCCACACCCAATGGTAGTTAGGGATCATTCACTCCTGGTGGACTTAGAAGACCATATGGAAGATCAGGAAGTGAACCTAGGTCAGCCACATGCCAGGCAAGCACCTTCCTGCTGTGCTGTATCTCTGGCCCCTGAGGACTTCCTGCAGGGTTCAGATGTAATTCTGCACTCAGTGCTTCAAAATTCATTGTGGCAATTGACTGAAAGATTTTAGTATGTTTCCCCCTTCCCTTCACTGTTGGTGCAGAGACCAGATGTCTGTCTGTCTGTCTCTGTCTGTCCCTCTGTCTCTCTGTCTCTCTTTCTCTTCCCTCTCTCTTTCCCTCTCTCTCTCCCTCTCTCTCACACTTACACTTGGTTTGAGGACTGCTAGGAGGTTGTCAATCCAATTACGGTGCCTACACACTCACACTCACCAGTACTTACTTAGTTGCAGAGCTAACACACATGCTCACAAGGGCTGGCACCCTTCGAGTTGTGCTTGTGAAGCTTCTGGTTAAAACTGCCTACCCGAGGTTGCATTCCTGGCCATACTGTACACACATCCTGTGGTGTGCTCACACACCTTGCTGTAGTGCTCTGGACACCGCACGCTCTTGCGTGGAGGATCCCAGACAGTAGAACACACTCAGTGCATGTGAGTGGCACCAGGTCTCTCTGTTGATCGACAGACTCTCGGACACGGAGTTGATCTGGGCCTGCTCTTCTTGTAGCTCTTTAATTCCAAAAAGAGAACAGGCCTGGACTGCTTGACTTCACTCTAGGAACTATCTTCCAGAGGACTAAGTGAAGCTGAGCGGAGCCTTCAAACATCTCATTCTCACCAGAGCTTCATGTGAGAGGCTGTTTGTAGGCAGGCTGAAAACATTTTCATTGAAAATGAAAGATCCTCTCCACACAGATATTGGCATCCCTTCAATTAGCAAACCTTTGGTTTTTTTTTTTTCTCTCCAGAGCATGTGCATATACTTCCTTGACAGTCACTTGGGTCTGTATGTGTACAAGTTGAGGGACAGGGGCTGCCATGGGTCACTCCTCCTCGTCAGGATTACTTAGGAGCAATGAAGCAGAGCATTCCATTGTAAGAAGAGATGCAGAATAAATTATCCAGTGAATTCTGATAGAATCCCATACTTTAAACTTAATTCCATAATATTTGAGATCTTAATTTGGTGCCAGTGGCCTTTCACATAGTCCATTCTTTAAAGGGTAAAGGTAAAGGCCCTCCCGTTGATCATCGATTTGCTCGAGCGGGCCCAGTAATGTCTCCATTGGAGACTTTGTTGTTACTGTGCCTGGCATATCGAATACGTCACGGGGAGCTTGCCAGACTCTGCCGTGCGGGTGAGATACTCTCAGTAGCTTGCCGGGCTCTCTGAGAGGGGCGGAGGAATCGAACTCGGGTCGGCCATGTTGGCTGCGTGCAAGGCAAACGCCCTACCCACTGTGCTATTGCTCCAACCCATTCTTTACCTTTAAATATTGGATCCCACCTTGGACAGTAAAATAAGCCAAAGGAATCATTTTAAGGCTAGTACTGGTGAGCCTCAGTACCTTATTTTGCCAACTGGATGCTGTAACTAGTTTATAAGGTATACCTTTGAAGTGTTTTCTTTTTTTAATTTTATTTCTTTTATTTATTTTAATTTTTTTAATGAATCACCGTGAGATACAGTTAAACTTACAAACTGTTGTGATTACATTTCAGTCATACAATGATCAAGTACCCATCCCTCCACCAGTGCCCATTCTCCACCACCAGTGTTCCCAGTATCCCTCCCACCACTCCCCTATTCCCCTCTGCCTCTGTGGCAGGCACAGTCCCTCTTACTCTCTCTCCTTATGGGTGTTATGCTTTATAGTACAGGTACTAAGTGGCTATCGTGTTCAATCCATAGTCTACATTCGGTACGCATCTACCATCCTTAGCATTCCCTCCACACATCATTTACTTGGTGGTCCCTTCTCTATCTCAGCTGCCTTTTCCCCCAGCATGTGAAGCCAGCTTCCAAGCCATGGAGTGATCCTCCTGGCCCTTACCTCAACTATTCTTGGGTGTTAGTCTCCCATTATGTTACTTTATATTCCACAAATGACTGCAGTCATTCTTTGTCTGTCCCTCTCTCTCTCTCTGAATCATTTCACTTAACATCATACTTTCCATGTCGATCCACTTAAATTCAAATTTCATGACTTCATCTTTTCTAACAGCTGCATAGTATTCCACTGTGTAGATATATTAGAGTTTCTTTAACCAGTCATCCGTTCTCAGGCACTCAGGTTTTTTCCAGATTCTGGCTATTGTAAATAGTGCTGCAATAAACAAATAAGTGCAGATATCATTTCTACTGTACTTTTTTGCATCTCTGGGATATATTTCCAGGAGTGGTATTGCTGGGTCAAATGGGAGCTCAATTTCTAATTTTTTGAAAATCGTCCATATTGTTTTCCAAAAGGGCTGAACCAGTCGGCATTCCCACCAGCAGTGAAGGAGAGTCCCCTTCTCCCCACATTCTTATATATTATTACATAGAACAACCTTGTTCTGTAGGGGGTGAAATGAAAGTTTACCAATGTTAACATTCTGACTTTCCCCCCATACTTGGGCTTTTGGTAAAATGGCAGAGATGGGGCTAAAAAATCAAATTCAGCTTGTCCTCCCAATTGAGGTAATACTGATTTACAATGCCGTTTGAGAAGTAAAAGGTCATCTCTCTTCAATTTATATTATTACCACATCACACTCACTGCCGAATCTTGCCTCAAACAGCTCCTGGGCTGTAGGTAGCTTGGGGAACCATATAGGACTGGGGAGTGAACCAGGGGTGGGCATGGGCTGACACAACTCCATTTTGTTTGGGGGCCACACTCAGCATTTCTGGCCGTGGGGTAGGGTGTGATCCCAGCTACTCCCAGCCCCGGTGGCCCATGGGTTTAAAGTGGTCTCCTTGAGAGAGAACAAAAGGGAATGCCCTGCCACAGAGGATGGGGGGGAGGGCGGGTACTGGGATCATTGGTGGAGAATGGGCACTGGTGGAGGGATGGGTACTCCATCGTTGTATAACTGAAACCCAAGCACAAAAACTTGTAAGACCACAACTGTACCTCATTGGTGTTTCACTAATAAAAATTTTTTAAAAATAATAAAGTGGCCTCCAGCTATTAGAGCTCTCTCTAGCCCCATGGCCACTGCCTTTAAGACCATCTACAGGGGCTGGAGCGATAGCACAGCGGGTAGGGTGTTTGCCTTGTATGCGGCTGACCCAGGTTTGATTCCCAGCATCCAATATGGTCCCCCAAGCACCGCTAGGAGTAATTCCTGAGTGCAGGGCCAGGAGTAACCCCTGTGCATTGCCGGGTGTGACCAGAAAAGCAAAAAAAAAAAAAAAAGATCATCTACAAAAGGCACGTGTCTTTGTTCTGGCCTGAACTTAAGTCACGGGCCAGCAAGAGAGCCTTGACTGTCATCTTTTGCTGTGTGGCTTTGAGACACTAATTCAAGGAGAAAATAGATGGCAGAAGTGTCTGCCACTCACCC